GAACCACAAATCACAAGGTCAGCTGAGAAAACTGTGTCACTGGAAGAAAATGTTGCTAGGGCTTGATATGGGTTCAGTGTACTTTTTGCTATGAATTCACATTTTTATGTGGCAATTTTGCTCTCCCCTTCTTAGTCTTCTGCCACATTTCTTATCAGATGACCAGAGTTCACCTAAGAGGGATGAACTCACTGTCTCAGTCAAGCTTCTCTACATCAACAGCTTTATCAGCTCCTATCAGTTCAGTGTAACCTTTAGTATTCAGCAACAGTACTGGGAAAGAAATGCATGCAATCCATCCCATCAGATTAGAGGTTCTGCTAACTATTAAGATTGAAGAAGAGTTGAGAAATCCCTTTGAAATAATTTGAAGTGTCTGTATGTTTTTTTGTTGGGTATTTTTTTTTTTTTCATAAAGCTCTTTACCACTGGAGCAGAGGCTACCTTCATATACATTTATTAATAGAATAAAAGATCCATAAACCAGCATCCCAGAAAGAGTGCAACAGAAAACAGAATGCACCCTTCCCATTTTGAACAACATGACTAAAGCTCACCAGTGCTTATGCTCCTCTATCTCCATTTTAATTCTTGCAGCCGAATACTGTTCTGTGCTGTAAAAACAGTTCTGAACATGATGTGATTAACCTCGGGGTCCCCCCATCCCCTCATCTCCAAGCCCCCTCGTACATGGCCTGTGCTTTCTATTCATGTTCAACCATCTGATTTCCATATCATCCCGCTCAGCCTCACGAGCGGCTATTAGCATAACAGAGCTTTAGTGTGACATTGATTGAAGCCAGCGCTTGCTGAATGCAGTATCAAAGCATAATTTGCCAGAAATCAAATCTAATTTACTATGTACTATTTAAATTTCTAAAAAAAAAAAAAAAAAAAAGCCAGCAATTTCAATATAAGTATATGAGGTTTGTAATCTTAATTGTTCTTTCTTTTTTTTTTTTACCCCCATAGTTTTGGCTAGTCTGCTGGAATCTGAGTGATGTATTTCATTTTAGAGCCACTGTCTTTGACTTTCAGATGTTAATTAAGCAAGAGTTTTTCCACTCTGTTTCTTCCAATGCACTTAATGCTACATCTGAAACAGTAAAGAGTAATAGTCTGGTAGGCACAACACTTGGTTTGCTGCTTCATAACAGTTTTTTCAACAGATTCTTCTAATGACCTTAATGTTTAGCTTGAATTAAGCATTTAAGTACCACATAACTTCAACAGCTGAAGCAGATCAAGCCTGCTGTTATTTCTCTAACTGTACCTTTCCAGAATGTTTTTAAAATTCACCTAATTTGAGAGCAGCAATAGTGGCTTGAAGAAGTTTTGTCCAGCGTTTAACTGAAGCTACACTCTGAGCAAGTTATGATCTCAGTTAACCTTTCTGCGAAATGGAAGGAATAATATTTATCCATCTTTATAAACAGCATCTATATATGAACATAATAACCTCTGTTTTTAGGAAAATTGAAGAGCCCAAGTGCTTATTCTGTCAAAGAAGCCTTGCTGTCTCTGAGCACTGTCACATTGCATTCTCTGGGGATAATGACAGTCTTAGTGTTGGGGTAGTTATACTTGACCAAGAATTTATCCTGCAATTATTAAGTGTTACTTTCAGTTTTCAAATTGCATTGTTCAACTAGAAATTGACAAATAAAACTGGTATGGCGAAAATGTGGTTTAAATGCTATAAACAATGTTATTTTAATCAGAGGCTGTCTATAAACAGAGCTATAGCTGAATATGACAACAAACTATAACAAAATGAGGGTTTCTTTCATTATAGAACCCCATCTTTGAATAAGTTAAAAAAATTCAAACGACTCACACAATGTTTTATTTTTGTGAAATTATGTTTCTTGTGTTATTTAAGATTATGTTGTTAAACAGTTTGGCTGAAGAAACTCTAATGTGAACAAAGGCTCCAATTCATTCTTTTTTTATAGTAAATTTTCAGTAATAATGGCTGCAGAGAAAAGCTAGAAAATATATAATGGCATAACTAAACATTTGTTTGCTGGAGTCTTTAGAAAGGTTAACTTAGTAACTATGAGGCCACAGATCTTCTGTTCATCTAGTATGGCAAAAGCTGGAAAGGACTTGGTGTGTGGAAGGCAGAGAATGAAACAACAGGATCCGTCCATGTCTGACTTATTTTCCTTTTCTGTTTTTGGAAAAAAGAAAAGAAAAAGAAAAGAAAAAGGATCCTTTTTCTGCACATAGGAAAATGAGAGATATTCAAAGATAGGGATAGGTCAGAAACTGGAGACTAGGTAGGAACTAGGTTGTATGTCCCTCACTGTGCCTTGACTATCAAATTACCCTAATTTGATCCTTGGGAAGTCTGCTACAGCAGCAGATTTGGTTCTGTTGTATCTGCTCAGAGCTTTGAGTTACTGATTTCCAACACAGCCTTGCGTGTGTGAGAGTGTTTCAGATGAACCCTTAAACTTGCCTGCCTTGCACTTATGGCGGTTACATGACTTGAAAGATGGGCTCATGGAAATGATTACCAAGCTCTTCTTGCTCCTGTTGAGCTGCCTCAGAGCACTGCCTGTGTAACACACCCCCAGTGCACCAAGCATGCCTACAAAGTGATCTTAGGCATCCATCATGCTAAGGTTTTATCTATGGGATGGTCTCCTGACACCAGGTTTGTAACATCACAACAGAAAGATTATGGTCTCGAGGCCACCTATAATGCAGCCAAGAGTAGGGCTCATGCATTGTTCCTGTCAAATGCAGGTCCAACACCTGAAGAGGTGTTCTTCTCTCTGCTGTGCCTGAGGTTGCTGTTGATTCTATATTAATATCCTGGGCTATATTAATATTCTGCAGCTGAGCAGCAAACACTGGGCTAGTCTAGTGACCTTTATTAAGTAGGTGGTCAGAACTGTAGAGATACCCAAGACATGCCTATAGGAAGGGGAGGTTTCTACTTCCCAGCTTAAAGGTTTTTCTCTCTCCTCCTGTGTCTGACTGAGCTAACACATGCACTGATTACCACACTGCTGCCTCCTGACACCTGTAAGGGTTGCATGCAGATATGCTTGGTAAAACCAGGTGAGTGAAAACCAAGTAACTCACTGCAGCTCAGCACTTTAAGAGTAGAATAGCACTAGTTCAGTTCCTAGAGCATGTATAGACACACCTTATAGGAACCTCAGAACATATGGCTATAAACAGGCAGCAGCAGGGCACTAAGGCCTTCATCCCTGCCTGTTTAGAAGATTTTACAGCTGCTGAGGTGGAGGAAGAGGTGGAATCTTCTCTCCAGAGAGGCCAAAACCTGTGTTTAGGAGTGTGAGGCAGAAGAAATATCCTCTACCTTCTAAATTTATGATGGTTCATGTTTATTAAGTGCTTTGCAGTTCTTGTTTTAAAGAGTGCATTATACCAGCACTATTCAACTGATGCTCTTTAGACTCCTGCTGATCTGTAAAGCCTCGGGAAGTACCTCAGGAGATCACTGCAAAGTGTGTTTCAAAAAAATCAGGTCTGCCTACATTTCTATGCAGTTAGCAGATTTGTGTCTGTGCTGTCAGCAGGTGTAATCGGAAGCTGGGACTTGATTGCTCTTCGTGCCTAATTAAATAGTTTGTAATTATAATGGTGAAAATATGGTTTTCTAAAACACTTAAATTCTGTTTACCTGAAAGCTTAGTGTTCCTAAGCCATCCCTCTGCACAACCACAAAACCAATAGTGGAATAGAAGAAAATGAAGGTGGTGTGTTTTTTGTTTGGGTTTTGGTGGTTTGGGTTTTTTTGTGGTGTTTTTTTACTGTTTTGTCCCCTTCTTCAGCCTGCCCCAAAAGTTAGCTGGTTTGATTAGAATATCTGGAGATACTGCTTGCATTTTTAAGATATGCAAAATAATACAAATCCAGTTTCAGTGATGAGCCAAGACTGGAGGGTTTTCATATCACTCATAGAAAAGCCATTTGCTTTACTACTACATCATACTCAGCATGGTCACTGATGTCAAGTTTTCCCTCTCAAATCCTCTGATACTGCTTTTTTCTCACTTCCTTTCTACACATTAACACCTTTTCTCTACCTTCTCATTCCCACCAAGTACTGACTCTCTATTCTCTGTCAGTACCTGCCAGTACAAGTCAAACTACTCCTCTCTCTTAGAAATTGTTCACTTCTGACTGTGCCTCCCAGTGCCATATGTCTGAACATTGTTAATGCCAGCTACTTGAAAACATAGCCAGTCCTGGCTCTTCTTTCTTGCTTTGAACCCAGTCTCCTTTTTTCTTTTCCTTGTTTCTTCCTGATCTCTTGGAGTCCTTCTCGTTCTCCACTCACTTCTGCCCACTAACTCTTCAACTTTTGCTTCCTTCTGATCTTTAAACAAGCTGAAATCTGGATTTCCCAAGTTTGTTTTGTTTTATCAATCATTCTTTTTGCCGCAACTCCTCCTTCCCGCTCCATTCTTGACCACACTGCCTCTAAGAGAACTGAGAGAGCTCTTGAACTTCTGTTCTTCTGCTGCCATCCAGACCTTCCTTTCCTTTCTCAATCATTTTAAAAAGTCTAGAGGGGTACACTGAGGAAGACAGTCTGTTTATCCTAATTCATACTTGCAATACATGATAGCTCTGTGAAGCATAAGAGGGTACGAGACTGGTGGTACCTTTCCAGACCAAAGGTAGAACACATCCAGAGCCAGCAATATAAACACCTGACTGTGCTCCTGAGCATTTATTGTCATGAGAATTGACTCTAGCATGTATGGTTGTAATGTTTTTTTCCTTTTTTATTTTTTTTTGATAACTGGGGATGTCACGTACATATATTGCTGCTCTTTTTGTCGCTGTTCTTGTTTGTTTATATATTAATTCTGTCTATACTAATTAATGTTTCTGGTGTCATGTCCTCTGACATAAAACAAATCTCCATAATGTTGTCTCTTTCCTTCAATATTCCCCATCTCTCCCTTGCAAAAATATCCTAAACTTATACTGTGTTTTTTCTTACATTGTAGCTCCCCCACAGTTTGTGGTGAGACCACGAGACCAGATTGTAGCCCAGGGTCGAACAGTGACTTTTCCTTGTGAAACTAAAGGAAATCCCCAGCCAGCTGTTTTCTGGCAAAAAGAAGGAAGTCAGGTAAGCTGTAAGCACCCTATAAGTCTTTCAAGCCTTTCTAAATAGTTATATTGTTAAATTTTAAGGAAATGTTTTTATATTACATTTCACAGATTCTCCTAACCTTTCAAAGAAATTTGTATTTTTAAACTATCACTATTTATACTAAAATTTTTGTTGCCTTTTTTTTTGGTAATATTGATATTATGGAGAATACAAAGGCCATTTAAGTTGTTGAAACTTGGACTAGGTGCTGTGCAGATGTATAGAAAGCAACAGTAAAGCCTTTCCATTCTGAAACCCACAACAAACAGGTGGGTGAGACAGGCACAGCAGATAAAAAAAGGTATGACTCAATTTTTTACTAATCAGAGTCAGTAATTACGGTTCACAACCTGTCTAGACGTGATCAGGCAGATATGTATCTCGCAAGCTGATTTACATTGGTGCATTCTCATGGAGCATACAGATACAGGGTCTGAACAGGCAGATGCTTTCTTGAGTAAAACTGTCTCAGGAAATTTCCAGATCTAGTTTTGTAAATGTTTCCCCAATCTCTTTTGAAGGCATTTGAATTTGTGATGTAGCAATCAGCGTTGCCACCAGCCAATACTAACTTCTGTAGCTTAGTATTTGAATGTCACGTCATGACGTTTCTTTACTGCTGTCGCTGCACTGGCACGTAGTTACAGCAGAAGTCAGGCCTCCTCTTGTGTGCAGTTCATGTTAGTATGTTAAATATGAACACTGCAAACTACGTGCTGTATTCTCTTTTGCACCTGAGAAAAGATTAAAAGGGGCAAATGGACACCCAAGGGCAGTGCCTTCTGCAGCTCCCTGCTGAACCCTGTCATGATGGCTACAGCCATCTGTGTATCTATGCAATATACCCTTCTCTTTTGGCAGGTTGGTCTTTTCAGAGCCCTGTGCTACTTTTCGGGAGTTAGCTCAAGTATCCGCACCATGCTGTGCAGTGCAGATGTACCTTTTGTCAGATCTGGAGGCACTGTGTGTACCAGCTCAGTCAAAACATGAGATAAGAGCTGAACCACAGATCTTCCGCTCTGCCCCACCTGCTTCTCCTTTGCCTTCTCAGGAGATCATAAAGCTGGTCCAGAATGACAGGACCAGGCTGACAGCGTTTTGTGCTCTGCTGTCTTTGTGGCTTACAAAGATACAACCCTATTGCTTTGTGAGCTTAAGCTTGTCTGAGTGTAAGCTTAACCTTCAGTGTGTATCTCTCAGTGTACTATCTAGAGAAATTTAGGTTTAGCCTCCATGGATCACACACCCTGGAAAACCAAAGTGTTGTGAGTCTCACTAAGGTGGCAATTGTTCCAAGGGGAAAGTAGAATAGTATGTTGAAATTCAAGTAGGAAGTACTGATGTGCTAGCAAACGTTTCAAAACCCTTCCTTGTAGAGCATTTTAATAACATGGTAATGTTTATGTAAAGTGAGCTTATAGTGTCACACTTGAATCTAATAAAGTGGACATCCATCATGCTGTAATAAAGAGAAGAGCTTCTAATTAAAGTAGGACATCATTTGCAGGATTAAAGTCATTTAGCGTAATTGAAAAGTGTTAATACTCTATTTTATCCTCTTCCATTTCTATCACTTCAAGGGTAAAAACATTTTAAGGTGAAAACACATCTTGTGTCTTTAATTGAATGTTATTACCTACTGATTGTACCATGTTGAAGCTGCTTAATTACAAACCTGGAAAATTAATTACCATATTGAGAAACAGATCCCCGAGGGTTAGAATAGTCTTTTTTGGCAAATAAACCCAACATAAAAATTGATACCTACATGGTTTATAATCAAACCTTCAAACGCGGCTCAGTGTGATTTACAGCACCCTCGTGTTAATCTCGATTGATCATCAGTGAAGTAGCACAGGTTAGGGTTACCATCTCACTGTATAACTGGCCAGATTTTGCAGTGAGATGCCATAAGGGAGGTGAGTTTCCACATATTGTATATCATCCTACAAACGGAGGGTGGTATTTTTGCCAAATTACGTGACTTTTCACCTTTGCATGCCCAGCTATAAATTGTTTCTTGTCTCTACAGTGCTTGCTTCTGCTTTTACTCGGGGAACTGTTTGCAGCAGAACTTTTAGTGTTCGAAGTAATGTTATGTAGTCGTGTTATCCCAGTCCAGTAATTGTAGGGCATTTTTCATTGTGACTCCATTTCTCCATCCTGTGTTTTTGAGCACAACCAGCTGGAAGGGAGGGGAGCTGTTCCCTCCTGAGTAATTTTTTGTGCCAGCCTGTGCATAAACAGCTGGCCCTTTGTACTTGGTAGCCTTTTCCCCACAGTCCAACAGCTGCCCACCGGTGAAATGCACGAGGGCAGGGTGTGTGTAATCTTTAGGCCCTGTGGATTAAATTCTTCCTTGAGATAAATTCAGTGGTACTGTATCAGGGGTGTCCCTGGTCCCACTTTTCGCAACTCAGCATCTGTGTCCAGATGAGCAACCTGACAGTTAATTAAAAGGAGTGAAATTGTGAAAAGCATTTTAAAACGAGGTTTTACTGTAATTTAGGACAAGTTTTAGTTCATAGTTATCTGGTCTTTGAAGGGAGGAGTCATGAGACTGGTGAACTCCTCCTGATGTGTGGAATATTTACTGGGACATGGTACCTTCCAGAACAGAGAGTCCCATGCTAAAGAGCAAAAGAAGAGCAGTCTCCCCTTTCTAATGCAGTGATAAAGAGGATTCTGGATTATTTTTCTCTTAAGAATTAGTAGCTCGATCCTTGCACTGTCTTTTACATTGTGTTTCTTTATACACTTTACATAATGAGTGATAACTGGAGTCAAGATCAACCATGTCAAAGTTCTCCACTTTCTCGTAAAATTTTGAGAAGTTTTCATAATACCCTTATTCAGTAGGTATCTGTGCCAAGCAGAAGTTATTCTGAAAATTTCCAGGCAGTTCAGAAAACAAGGCAATTATTTGAGACCCACTTAGTCCCAAAGCCTGAAATTGCTTCAGAATTTTAACACTTTTTTCCTATTGGATCTGACATGTTTACTGGGTGCATATTGATTTTTGAGAAAAAAATTTGCTGTTATAAATTTCTTGAACGTTGCCATTGAAACAAGGCGAGGGAAAAGCCTAAGGTGACAAGTATCCTTGTAGGTTAATACAATTATAAGGATACTTAGAGCATCCGATCTTGTTTAAAGCATATCACTTTCCTTTTGCTGCCAAAACCATAAAGGCATGAGTTTCACTTAAAAGCAGAAATTGTTTCTTATTCGAAGTTCTTATTTGTTTCTTAAGCAGTTTGTTGCTTATCAGTTCCAAATCCTTTTTTGTAAACCATTAAGGTCTGCAGAAAATTCATTTAATACCCTATTCTACACTTTTAGATTCTAATTTTAGCCCATACAGACAAACTTAAAAGTTAGTAGGGAGTCACCATTAGAAAGCACAGCAGAGCCATACAGAGCTGCAGTAATGACTGAAAGCTTATCACAGCATGTTAACAGTGTTTTGGGGTATTCCTGCTGCAAACAACTGTATTTTTCATAGAGGCTTGTTGAGTTGACATAAAAGCCAGACCCTATTTTACTGGAATTACTTTTGTTTAATTATTGTTTAAGCTGTTCTCCTTTCTGCCTCATTGGGCAATGCTGCTGACCTTTCTCTTTGCATTGCTTTCCTTTTCCTGTTCTTATTTATTCACGAGAGCTGTGCTAGATGATATAACTTCTTCCTTGAAAACACAGTCCTCACTACTAAAACATTTTCAGTATTGATTCATCAGTCAGTGATTCAGTCCTCCATCGTATGCAATGACTACTACAGCCATTCCAGTTATTATTATTGACATCTCTCTTTTCTCCAATCCAGCCCAAAGGCAAAAGCTAATCTCCCTGTTTTGTGCTAACTGATGTCTTATCCTACATGAAATTATTTTTTCTTTCTGATGATTTCTACATCAGATTAATACCCTTTCTCTTCACCCTCAAGGCTCCATGATGCATTTCTCCTTTGGTGCACCTCAGTTTTAATTTCCTTTTACTTCTCCTTTAAGCTCTCATGCTCTGCCAGCTTCTCCTACTTTATGACCTGCTCACATCTTCCTCCCAGCTTTACTTCTGTGCCCCACTCTTACGTTCTCCCTTGCCCAGGATATATTCACAGCCAAACAATAGTGCTATGGCTCCCTCAAGTCTCCAGGATTCAATTTTTTCTGCTAGTTTTCTAATGTTCACTGTAGTGTTATGTCCTCCTGGTTTGATAGCCCAACTAAGTATATTATTACAATTACATTCAGAAAGAAGATGAATGTGTCACAAATATAAATCACTCAAGTGTGATTGTTGGAAAATGTCTCCTCTCCTACAGCCCCAGAACATAGCACTGTGTGCTGTCAAAGGGCTGTTTCTAATTTAAACTGCAAGTTGCCCAAGGCAGGGAGAGCCAGCTCTGTGTGTTCATAAACTCTTACTTTTTCTTCTGGTTTATTTATAGCACTTTTAAGGGGGGAAAATCGTCGTCTCTCTAGCTGAGGGAAAAGTGGTGCTTTTGTGTTTGCAACTGATATTTGATGAATTGTCTTTGCAGAATCTACTCTTCCCAAACCAGCCTCTCCAGCCCAACAGCAGATACTCCGTGTCACCGACCGGAGACCTCACCATTACCAACATCCAGCGGTCGGATGCGGGATACTACATTTGTCAGGCACTGACGGTTGCTGGAAGCATTTTAGCAAAGGCTCAGCTGGAGGTTACTGATGGTGAGCTATTAGAAATTCCTGTTGGTTTTTTTGCCCTGTCAAAAGTATTTTAAAAGCAGTGTAAAGAAAGGCATATGAGATCACATAATTCATACAAGTAAACGGACAATTTTCTGAAGGAAATGAAATGAAAAAGGATCTCTGTGCATGGTCTGTGGAGTCAAAAAGGCATCAAGGTCTATTTTGCCTTTTGCTTGCTTGCTGAAGGTTCCTTAGTGATGCAAACAAGGGGAAAACAAGCTGAAAATAGGGTTGGTGAGAAAGGAAGCTTCTTGGTTTCCTAGAGCTAAGAGACTGCAAGAAAACGTTGTGGAAAATGAATAGGTTTGTGATTAAATCAGTGAATTGGGGTGCAAAAAAAATTAGTCCTGATTCCCAAGAGTCTTCACTACTGTCTTACACAGGTAGTTTGGGAATGTGTCCTGAGCTCAGCTAAATCAACACAGTTGTTTGAACGTAGTGGAGTACTGTTGGTTTAGAACAGCTACAACAGGTAGCCCTTTAGTCACTCTGTGAATAAGGCACCTACCTCAGAGCTGTGTTCCAAGAATTTCCTTGTATGGTTAGGTGTGAAAAGAGTCATGAAAATATGTAGGTAGAGAAGAGTTTTCAGGAAAGGAAAAGCATCTGTCTTGATGCTTTCTGTTTCAAATTTTTGGGTTTGAAATTTATCCTGCCTCGAAGTTTACCTTACTCCATCTCCAAACATGAATCCTTTTCAGATGTCAGGAATCCTGTTGATATCCCTCTTCATCCTATTGTGGGTAGAAGGCAGTTTGCATCCTTTAATGCTAGTGAGGAAAACAGAAGAATTCCTCTTATACCAGGAGATTGTGGCATTCCCCAGCATCATTATTCCTTATCTTAACTGACACATTAAATATCTCCTGACAGACTTTGATGAATTTTTGCCATTAAAACTGTTGTTATATGCAGAGGTCTACTTTTACTGTTCCCTTAGAGACCTGCCTGCACCATGAAAGTTTGAAAAGATGTCTAATTTTGAATAATCTGCCTTTTCACAAGAGCATATTCATCACAAGTGACAGGTAGAGAGGTTCAGGCTCATGTTATAGAGGTTTGAGCATTAATTTGATGCCTTTTCTTTGTTTTCCAAAAGCTGCCTATATTTTTATGACAAGGGAAGATAATTTCTGCCTTATCCTTGCATCTCTTCAAGCACGTTGCTTTTCTATAGTTTCTGAAGACTAAAGGCTTGGCTTTTCTCTACGATCCCTTTAAAAGTCCTTGCTCTCATGGTCTGTGACAAAATGATGCATTTTCATTCAATTCAAATTTAAATGTAGATTAAAAGGTAATTTAAAATTAATGGGAAGGCAGTATTTTTTAATATCTGTCCATAGTGCTGCCTGACTCAGGGCCATGACTGTGATTGGAATAAACAGAACACACAAACATTGGCTGAGAGGACATTGAGCTGTTAATGGTTGCACCTGCTGATGCTGTACAGATTTACAGCAACAGGCGCTGAGTGCATCAAATCAGGTTCAAGGACACTAGTGATGAGAAATTCTTCCTTTTGACAGGCAAGGCCTGTGGTCCTTCTTTATCTTTTTCTTATGTGGGGGAAAAAAAATTAATCCTAATTGATCTCTTTGCAATTTTTTGTTAGTTTATTAGCGGGAAGTGTCCCTGCTAAATGCAAACTCACCTACAGCTAGTTGTGATTAAAGGCAGTGTGCATTCCACATGGCCAGAGAAGGCATTAGCTGGAGGCTCTGCTGCTCAGAGAGTGCAAGGCCTGCGTTCTTCAAACGCTTTCCAGAACCCACTGTCAGCGTGATGGTTATGAAATGATACAAAATTGCTTTAGAGAAATACCATTTCATCCCTGAGTCAAAGGGCGGGTGAGGTCAGAAGAAAAGTGCCAAAACAACATTGAGGAACTGAGATTATATAAATAAATGTACCATTAAATCACAGATTTTTTTTTTAATTGCTTTTAGTTAGGAAGTTACTCATAAATGTCAAAATAATCTGTTTTGGTTGATGCTGAGCAGAAGTTAAGGAAGCTAATGATTTTTATCAGTAGGGAAATCTAATTTAATGGTTTTAAAAATATAATAAAAGATAAACACTGTGCATGTTAACTATATACTTAAGCATTAGTGTTCTAGTTTTTGGCTGGTGATTTCAGTTTTACTTCATAGCCCAGAATTTTTCTGTTTGGTTAATGATTTAATAATAGTGGCGAGCCATCTTTTTCATTTTGAACACATTTTTGTTTGATCCAGAGTAATTTAGATCCAATTGAAGTTCCAATACAGAATGAAAACATGTCATGTGCAGAAAAACAAGTGCTTAATTATACCATATATAGCAGTGTTTCAGTTGTTACATTTTTGCACTTACAAGTCTTTACTGGAAATATTTTTAACTCAAGTGTTCACATGAGAAGAGATTACTAGCTGTGATGAAATGTGCTGAGTTGAGTGATAATTTTGCTGATTATGGACTGTGCTAAGAGCCTTCGGTGTATTTGAAATTCAAATCTTGTATTTTCTTGAAAGGCTATCATGTAATTCATCGCCTAACGCACATCTGGAAAAGCAAAATCATTTCAAAAATTGAACAATCTTAGCAATCCTTTCAAACTCAAGAAGTGAATATGCAGCTCACAATCTTAAAATGACGGATCCTGCAAATAAACCAAATGCTCTCATCTATGTCTGTGCTCAGCATAAAATGAATGGTTTACAATTAGTATTTAGTTACATAAATTTATTCGTCATGCACGGAATATTTTGGAGAAGGTCTTAATTTCTCCTTAGTTACTAATCATTAACAATTATTAATAAAAAATGTGGCCAATGCATGTTCAGCTGTAGGATCAACCTACTTTGTCCAGTTTACCCAGCAGTTGCTGTTCAGGGTGAGTACTGGGCTGGAAGGAAAAGATTAGCCTCACAGCGTGGATTTTTCTGACAACATAGGAATGAACTGGTTTAGGATATTAAATTAATTAAAAATACTGTGTTTCTGGGATTTTGAATAAAAACAAAAGGCTGGATCTATAAGGATAATTCAGAACAGATTAAAAAAAGTAAGAGGAGGAGTTGGCAGCATACCTCAACAGCCCACTCTCCACTGATTTGGAACAGACACTTAAGGCATTTTACCCAAACTCTTTGCAATTTTTTTTTTTTTATTATTATTATTATAGGTCTGTTAAATACTCTGGGGTATCTCTCTCTCAAATCCACTCCTCACAGTTTACTCGCCTGCAAATCTGGCCACTGTGATTCTTAGCCCTCATCAAATGTATATTAAATATTTTATAGCAAATGTGACAGTCTCAAACAGGAGAGATTCAGAACAACTTCACAGCCCCCTGTGAAGCTCTTCTGCAAAAAAAGACTGAAGGATTGGTCTCTGCTTTTCCAACCTAACCCTAACCCTCTCCTATCATACTAGTGTTCATCACGTGAATTTCATGACTTATGTTTGGTTTTCCCCATTAATTCACCAGGAAAGGTTTTGAAATTCTGATTTTGGAAGTGACAAAGTAAAGACTTCATTTTGTCATTCTCTTATTTTAATTTCCTGTTGTAATCTGAGCACTTTCCACCCAAAGTTAAATCTGATTTCAGTTGATCCAAATTGCCTTTTTGGGGAATAAACTGTTAATTAATAAGTATAATTTGTTCTTTTCCTGTAATCTGCTCCAAATTTAAGACACATTTCATCACAAAAAGAAATATTTTAATTTTTCAGTTACCAGAATATGTGAATATATGGATATTGGCAAATAGTTTCAAAAACATTTTTAAAATTAAATTCATTTTGAAATCAACCTCTGTTTTACCATGCAATCATATTTGTAGCCACAGAAAATGTTTCTGTGGAATGGATGGAAAGGTTTCCTGCAAGGGGAAAACTCTGTAAGTGAAAAAAAAATAATAACTTAAAATGTTTTAAAAGCAACTAACAAACCCCCTACCATTTTATGGATATTTTTCATTATCTCTCTGTTCTTCAGAATGCTTATTACATATGTTTTTTAAACCTCTAAGCGAGTTTTGGATCCTTACTAATGTGGAGACCTACGTGGTAGGAACACAAGCAAGCACCTACACAGGTTTTACAGAAGATTTACAAGTCCTGGTGGTGAAGACAATACAGTCATTCACAGATCAGTGGAAACCCTAAGTGTTCATTTAACCTTTAGCCTTAGTGTCATGGAAACCTGTAGTGGTCTCTCACCCATGACACCCTTGAAAATGAAGATTCCTTCTGGCCAGGAGACTTTCAATTACACTATTGATCAGAGCTGTTTAAAGGATTATGAGCTCCTCATTTGTGCTGTAAAAAAACTAATTACATGCCAAAGAACAATATCTGTAGTGCAGTAGGTTTTGCAAATGCCTACATTGCTGCACATATGAAAAACAATCAGATGAAGCAAATAACTGCAATAGAGCAGTTAGCATCTTAAATAGTAATTTTTCCATTAATTTTTAGCTACTTCAAATACTGGGATTTCCTGTTTTACATTAAATCTAAAGGATAACTTGCAGTTAAGTTTTCATTTGAATGTACCTGTGCTGCAGGTATCCTTACGAGATGAGATCAATTTTTATTTCACCAAATGGCTGAACTGTGCAGTTATGAGGAACCTTAATGAGCTAAAAAATGTCATATTAATTTGAAAATGCGTTACATTTTCTCTTTTCTTATAATACAATGTTTTCTCTGAGTTCGGTGGGTGATATTTCAGAATTTCCAAAATAGCTTTCACATTCTGGTGTTAATAAATAGTCTGTATTGGCTTTCTATTTTCAGTTTCAATTTCAAAACATGTGATGAACTCACACTCCAAGGTGTGATTCTGATAATAGTAATTATTCTGTCCTTTGTGAATCTTGTTAACAAAACAGGGTAGTTGTATTTTTGCAGCATTCAAATTTCAGAAACAATTATTTTAGGTATAAAATGTACCACCAACATGTCCCTCATATTTTTTATTTATTAAATAACATAATGAAAGCACTTTGGATCTGTTGAAGGTTCCAGAGGTTTGCATCTCAAACAGCTCAAATACAACAGAAACCTTATTGCTTCCTAATAATTTCCTTTCACTTCATTGTTAGAGTCAAATGTTGTGTATGGACTGTAATAAACAGATTCTCAGCTAGAATAAATGATTCAAACTCAATTGACATCTGCAGAGGGAGGCTAACTTACACTAGTTTAGAAGATAATCCTGCCTGTTACAATATTTAATACAAATCACATAATGTTCAGTTGTTCAAAGATTTAAAACAGCAGCAGTGTGGCAGGTAAACATATAAAAATAAATACTCAGTTCTGTTACGCTGATTTTATGCAACAGTCAAAGCCTTGTTCATATTCAAGTATTTCACATTTCTTTTGTTATAAACACATGCTTTAGAAACGAAAAGTTATGATTTTCTGCTTAACAGATGGCTCAGAGGATAGGTTCAACAGCAGAATTATTTATGAAAAAATGATCTTTCAAGAAAAGTGAACATGAGCATTTTACCTCATCTTCAAGGTGTCGCACTGGTCATGGAATGAGGTTTATACAAAGCCATGCACTCGCTTGCTGGTTGCAGTTTAAGCAGCATTTCAAGCATGCAAATGTAAATTATCAGGGGAAGAAAGTAAGAGAGTTCATGGTTTTAAAAGGTGATGAAATGATTTGATAAGTCAGCTTTTAAATGGTGTGATTGAGTTTGAGCTTTTCTCCACTGGAAAGAGCGGTGCAGTCATTTAGATCACTGAGATTATGGAAACGTTTTGTATTACTGTGAGGTATTTTTGTGGATGAAAACTTGCAAATTGAGCAGGGCTGGGGGATGTGGTTGGTACCTACGCTAGAATAGTGTTAGTTTTTCACTTTGAACTCTTAACAGATTTTCTCTTCTAGGCTGTAAATTAGATAAGCAATTAAGCACATTTTGATGTGACATCAAATGTGTGCTTTAAGTGCTTTCCTAAATTGGGAGAAATAAGTGATGCACTTCAATTCTTTTCTGAATCAAGGTCTTAATTTTCATCCTGTGTTAACCAAATGAGTCTGATGATCTTTGCTGACAGAAATTTACATGTCTAGGTGTTGTCTCGCAATGGTGAAATAAAATCCTTACACAAATACTTTTCAAATATGCCAGCAAATTGTTAACATGTATTACGGGTCTTCCAAAAATAATGTCTTTAACCTCTTAGAATACTGACTTAAACCAGTCCCTTAGGGTTGGTGCTGTGTGAAGGAACGGGGCTACTGGAGAAGAAGATCTTTAAAGGTGTGGATGTTGCTCTTTAGTCTTGACAGATAGGCCTCCACCCATCATCCTCCAGGGACCCATCAACCAGACACTGGCAGTGGATGGCATGGCTTTGCTGAAGTGCAAGGCCACTGGTGACCCCCTTCCTGTCATCAGCTGGTTGAAAGAAGGATTCACCTTCCTGGGCCGAGATCCTCGGACGTCCATACAGGACCAGGGGACGCTTCAGATCAAAGCGCTGCGGGTGAGTAACGGTGACAAAACAAGCGTGACAAGTTCTACACGGCTGCTTCTGACCTGCTGGTGTGTGCCTTGAGCAGCTCTGCCGCCTCCCCTTGTCTTCAAAATTGACTTGTCTTTTTTTGCTGTGCAATTCTCACCAAGTCCAAACCCTGTTTCATTCTTTGACACTGTGTAGGGAAGGGGTGGAGGGGAAAGAAGAGCGAAACTAGTATCAGATATTTCTATGAGAATTCCCTAAAAACAGAACTGATGTTTAAAATCTTATGTATGTTTCAGTAAAACACGTGAGTTGGGGACGGATAGAAATATGAAAGGACAGTCCTTCCTGTGTTTTCAGTTAGTGTAACCATGAAGGCCTCTCTGTTAAAACTTAGAGTAGTTCCTTGGCAACACATGATCCTAATTTTCCAAGGATTTGTGATGTTAGCACGTGATCTGGAGTTCATCAGGGTTTGATCATGCACTTTCTCCATCAATGAGTCTTGTCAGTCCTGAACTAGATGATTTATTCCAATGTTATGCTTGCTGGAAATATTCCACCAGGCTGCAAATGGCAAAAGACAACTGGAACATGAAGTCATATGCAGCAGGATTTCTATTAGAAATAAATACCTATTGTAACATTTACATTTTGGCACATGATATTATAATATTCCAAATAGCATAATGTCCTATGTTGTTGATAAATATTGCATCACTAATCTTTTTTCTTTTTTTGGCTTTTAATTTTTCCCTGTTCAAAGATAAACGTGTATTTGTTTGTGTGTATTTGGACAAGTGTGTATATGGAAAAATAGTATGTTAAATGTCCTTATTTGTCAAGAACGTAAAGACAATTTCAGGAACCGCTTAAACCGTCAGCAGAAATTTCTGCACTTGGCTTTTCCATCCAAAAAATGTCAGTAAATGTAGCTACTGATGACAGGACATAAAGAGCAGTTTTGTTTTCTGATTCCATCTCATCAGTGATCGTAGATGAATTGTGAACTTTCTTGGAACAAAATGGAATTTATTAAAAAATTTATGCTAGCTTTCCTTGAGTAAACAATTTATCCTTCCTCTCTGGGCTGAAGGCAGGTTTAGGCCATGAAGGTTAATGCATTTTTCCTGTAGAGCTGGATTAAAGAGTGCGCTTGAATAGTCAAGATTCCCCAATAGTGTTAGAAAGCAGCAATTAAAGGTGGAAGCTTAGTGATTTCAAACAAACTTCCAGGCACTGATGATGGGCTTCTGTGGAGTGTCCATGAGGCAGAAGCTCCTGGGATACCTGTCTGCATGCAGCTATGCAAACAATGAAATTGGTTCTGAATCGTGCCAGCGCATTAATCTCGCTGTCAGAGGCCCAAAGTCTGTAAACTGAAGGGCAAAAAAATTGCTTGCAAGGGGAGAAGAAAACAGTATTAGTAGTGAGTGTGGTTTTGAAAGGCGTGAGGCTTTTATTGATCCTTAAGTGGCTCATTCACTAGTAACCAATTTTCCGTAGAGGTTCAGAAAGGCATTTTTTATAAACCCCTCTGTAGCAGTGCACTCAGATTCAAGAACAAAAACTACACAGGACCACAAACCCCAGATTTCTCCTGTCCCTTGCAATTTTTATGAATTGAATATGGATTTAAGTCCAGAATGTTTAACTTTTCTCTCAGGTCTACCTGAGCAAGGACTTGCACCACTTCCTAAGCAAAAAAATGGCCATGAAAATGTCCAAGTACACTTACATACCCAAGTTCAAAATAAATTAGTATTTGTTACCCACATGTCCTCAACCTTCTGCATGAAGGTAGATTTAGATTAGATACCAGGAAGGTATTCTTTATTGTGAGGGTGGAGCAGGTTTCCCAGAGAAGTCATGGATTCCCCATCCCTGAAAGTGTTCAAGGCCAGGTTGGATGGGACTTTGATCAACTTTGGTTTGGTAGATGCTGTCCCTGCCTGTGGCAGAGGGGTTGGAAAGGTGATTTTTAAGGTCCCTTTTTAGCTGACCTTTTTTTGCTATGTAGCTCTTTCTGTTACATCACAATCAAATTATTCATGAGCCTGCAGCAGTCCCAAGGGCCACAGTCATAAGGATGAACACAGAGATTTTTCTGATGAGCCAATCTTTCCAGTTGCTCTGAGGAAGACAACTGAAAACTGACATAAGTCACTCACTCAGTACCTATTCAGACAACTCAGCACTTAGAGAAGTCTCCCTTCTGCTCCATAGAAATGTACCACACCAGGTTTAGGCACCTCCATTAACTAAGGAACAAAAGTGTTTATATTTTACTGAATAGCAAACATTTTTCTGTTCAGCTCCCACATTGTTTTTTCCCAAGCACAAAAAAAATAGGTATAAATAATTGAATTATCAACACACTATGTCTGTATCTAATCCATCCACAGTCTGGAAGTCAGATAATTTGCCATAACTTGCAAGAAGCAGTGTATCTCCAGCTTGCTTTATGTGTTGAGTTTGCCTTCTGCAAGTTACTCTGTCGTGTACACCACATACTTCATTGAGTGTGCCATACACCATCTGTCACAGCGGCACACAAATGAAGTTGAGAACCACAGCCTTGAGAAATATTCCCTGTTACCATGTAATGAAGAATTATATATTTAATAAAAGCTCAGAGGAAGCAAAATAAAACACTGCTTCAGAATGCTATTAAGGCTCTCTCCTCTGGAAAATCTCTCCTTTCAAGAGTGTTTCTCATTTCATTAGCAGCACCTCTATATTTTGAGTGTCTGAGCCATTGTTAGAGGGGTTTCACTGTTGCTTGTATTTCATGGAGAAAAAAATCTCCTGAAATGTGAGTTAGGCTCCTTCAGGCAGTTGAGCTTCCTTCCTCCCCTAAGAATTCCTCCTCTTAAGTTGCTTCCTCCTCTAGGAATGGTACACTGCAGTCCCAGTGTATCTGAAGAAACTACCAACAAAATTCAAACATGACCAAGGTAAAAATCAATTAAATTACATATCAACAAGTAACCTAAAGAATATCTTGCTTGTTTGCCTTGACATTCTTCTTGAAGAGTAAAGTATGAGCACATACGCTACAGTGCCAATCTGCATTTAACAGAAACCCATTACAATTCCTTAAAGTCCAATAAAGCATTTTGGATGTATTTCTATTTCCATCAAGTCATCTGATGGTGAATATAATTCTTCTTCTTTATCACTAGAGTCAGCACTCTTCTTCTTCTTCTTCTTCTTCTCCACCTCCAGGTTACCGTGCTTTATGCTTAGTGGTAGGAGAGCTTCTCTGTATATTTTGTGCTTTGTAAAGTTACTGTTTCCCATCCATCTCTGTGGTCTTCACTAGTTCCTGACTCAGAAATCTTTATTTTTAATTTAAATAAGGAATAGGAAAACATTTGGCAAATTTTCTAGTAGAACAATTTATACAGTGATGAGATTAATATTGAAAATCAAATTCAAAACATTTTCCCCAAATAAATTTAAAGTATTTGAACTGACAAGTGAATCACAATAGTTTTATACAAACGCATTTTTTTTTTGCTACTGAAGGGCCTTGCAAGCCTGAAATAAGATCCCATGTTAAACAGAAGAAAGGTAAGCATGGTATAAGATCTAAATTAATCTCGCTATTTGAAAATTACTTGGTAGACTGTCTGTGTAGAGAGAATGACTCTTAAGTATCGAAAGTATTTGTGTGGTGGCCTGTATAGGAATGACTTCATCTGTCATAAAAGTCTAAGATGATGTAACATCCTTCCTTGGCACTGGAGCCTGTACTTCTGGGTCATCACGGGATAATGAATGGTGAGATTTTGCCCTCTAAGAGTTTAATTGTTGTTATATTGTTACCTGATTTCACCTGCGTTTGTTGTAACCAATACAAACACTGGCACTGTCAAAAACATCCATTCTGTAGCATTTACAGTACTGGTACCATTAACAATATGAAAATTAGAATTAGTGAAGTATTAGAAGCAAGTAATCTTATTATAGTTCTCTAAAAGTAAGCCACCATTAAATGATTGTTGGAAAATATCTGGTGCCCTCTAGTCTGATGTAAAATGTAGGCTAAGTCCTTCTTACCAAGAAACATTTAGAAAAAGAAAATTAGAGTAAACTCAGCTGATTCCAAAAGGTTGTTAAAACTGCCCTTATGCCCCTTTTATCTCCAGCTGTCCGATACTGGGACTTACACTTGTGTGGCTACAAGTTCCAGTGGGGAGACGTCTTGGAGTGCTGTGCTGGAGGTGACAGGTAAGTCATGTCCAGGGCTGTTTCAGCTGGCACACAGTGAAAGTGTGGACCATAGCACAGCAGTCTGAGCCAAATAATCCGTTTTAGAACTTCTGGGATTGACATGGCGTAGTTTTGGAGGAGAAGGTTCCGTTCTTTCACACGCCTTGCATATCATTCCTGTTATCTTCAAATGCCTACTGACATTGAAACAGATTTATATGTTTGTCTCCAGTGTCAGAGAGAAGCTATAACTCTTCTAAACAGGTGTATTAATAAACTGTGGATTTATCCAGTAATTGACTTGGCCAGCAAAACTATTATGCCTACATAGAGGCATTTCAAAGTCCAAAGTGCTCTCTGTGAGTACTGGAGTTGATTTGGATACAGGAACTTTCTCAGCTTTCTAGAAACTGAGTTTTTGGTATTTTATGTAAATTTCAGTAAAGCTGGTGGGGTTTGTTTTGTTTTTCTTTTTGTTTGTTTGTTTTTGTTATTATTTAATTTTCTTTTAAAAAATATATTTATATATAACCTTTTGATTTTTGCATTTTTTTCTTTCAGTATGTACTTAAACAACGATAGCTCTTCATCCAAAACCATGCAATTTTTGACTCAGTTCTTTGTGGATTAAGAATATTTATTATGATTTTTACAGATGTTTGCCATGTTTTTCCTTTTAATCTTCTACTTTGATCAAATTATATAACCAAGGATAAAGAATATTTGTTTCGTATTTGCCCTTCACAGAATCCGGTGGAGCAACAGTCAGTAAAAATTATGATATAAATGACCTCCCTGGGCCACCATCCAAACCTCAGGTCACTGATGTCACTAAGAACAGTGTCACCCTGTCCTGGCAGCCAGGGACCCCTGGAAGCCTCCCAGCCACTGCATATATCATTGAGGCTTTTAGGTATGTGAATGATTCCACTTTTAAGCTCCTTTCTTTCTAATTTTGCTTAAACCCTGCTAACAGCTGTTCTGCTGGTATTGTGGTGTTCTTTTGGACTCCACACACATCATTAGAGGTTCATTAAATGACAACTCCTGTAGCAACCATTGATTCATATTTTTTAAATTGATTTTTTTAATTGATCACTATTTTAAAAAGTGATTAAGAGAAGCATGTAACAATTTCTATGGGAATATAACAACAATGCACTCATTATTTGTCACTTAACGTTGATGGTCGGTGAGAGTCTTCTGTGGGAATGCTGCAGGTCATTGAATATCATAGTACAAATTATATGAAAATAAGTGGATAGTTCTGAAACTTCTCTGCTTACTTTAATTCCTGCACTTGTTAAAGCAGTACCTATTAAAGAGTCAAATCACTTTAAATTTCTGTTGCTTACTGTTTAAGATAGATGAAAACTTTTAAGTGAAAAAAGGCTGGTGTTGATAATTTAGGATTTTATCCTGCAACCTGAGGCTGAAGAGACTCCAGCTGCTCCCTTCCACGCAGCAGCAATTACTGTGTGGTACAAAAGAATTCCTGGGCTCCGATTCAGCAAGTTTGGTTAAGCATGGGCCATACCTCTGCAATGGATCTGTAGTGCACATTTCTGCTTAAAAATCCACAACGTTCTTAAATGTTTTCCCTAATCGAGATATTCAACAAACAGAAAATATTTCAGTTCGCCTTTTAATTAAAAGTCATGCAACTCAAAATCACATGCATGCAAATTTTGGCTAAAATGCTTCATTCTACTCTGTTAATAGATAAAGAACATTATTGTGCGTGCAGTTGGTTGGTTTTGTTCTAGAACTTATTCTTTATGTGTTGCATGAATGAAGAAATTGAAACAACATAGAACTTGTAGCTTTCCATTTTCTTTTCCTCTTAATACACTTAAAGATTTTTTTTTTATCAATACTTTATACAACAAAGCACAATAAAATAAATTTTTCTCTTTAAAGTCTTATGATGTTTCTCCCTAGATAAGCTTTAATGGCATCCCATCAATAATTTTAACAAAAGACAGACATTTTCATTAAAAACTGTTTTTACAATCACATTTGAAATCTTTTCATCTGGTGGATTTTAATCTAATTATAATAATGTTGAATTGAAAATGTAGTGACAAAAAAAAATCATATACTTTCCTTCCTTTAAAAGCAAGGGTTTTGATTTTTTTTTTAAAACTTTTATGATTTTAATTCAAGGAGACTACTCTTCTACCAATGACAATTTATTGACATCATTTACTTAACAGTATAAAAAATTATTCTTTTAACAGAATTTTCCTTTTAAAGGCTTATGTTCTAAAGTAGCCTGTTTATCATTCAAACTTACTTTACAGCTCTCCACACTTTCCTTTTGCAGGCATTTATTTTAAAGAAACAGCAAAAAGTTTTGCTTCTGTTGCAACGAAAGATGCTTTTGAGAGCTGTGTTGTTTTTTTTATCCCATCTCAATGAGTGAGCCGAAACAAGTATTTTTAATTTGACCCTGCTTTTACTAATTTTTCCTGTGCTTAGACTTTATTTTGGGTCACAAAATAGGTGCTTTCGCTCCCTTATTTTTCTCTTGCATTAGTGTATGATCTTCACCCCTCTTCTCATTGCAGTCAGTCTGTGAGCAATAGTTGGCAGACAGTGGCAAACCACGTGAAGAGCACCCTGTACACTGTGAGGGGCCTGCGCCCCAACACCATCTACCTGTTCATGGTGAGAGCCATCAACTCACAAGGCCTGAGTGATCCCAGCCCTATGTCAGATCCTGTCAGAACACAAGGTAAGGGTGGTATTAAGGCCTCTGCGCTTGAGCTAAAATAAAAAGAAAGATCTGGGAGTTGACCAATGGGTCAGTCTGGGCTTTAGCACCCTGACTGAAGGAACAGTGAATTGAGGTTAACCAATGAAGGTAAAAATAGTCCAGTGTTTGCTGCATCAATCTGGAACTTAGGAGAAGAGAGTTTCCCTTTTTAATCCTTCCTACAGCCTAGACCTTGCGATTTGCAATTCCATTAGACTCGCTGTGCTCCTGGTTTTTATTCAAAGTAATGTGAGTTACCCAAGCTTTTCTGAGAACTTCTCTGAATTCCATGCTCTCCTCAGTATCTCTCCTTTCCATGTCCTTACCTCCTCTCCATCATTATAATGGGGATATACTGTAATAACAGTATGACAGGCAGACACTGTGTTTAGTGTTAGTTTTAATCAAAAGAACGGCACAAAATATCTGTAGTGTGTTGATTAATCCAATCCAACATTTAGGCAGAGAATTCATGTAAACTAAGGCATCTGCATGCTGAGAATATATAGAAGTTATTCTGAGAAAAGTGCATTCTATTTATATACCTACATTTCTGAACTCTTTATATTAATCCACTGCATAAACCAAAAGGGAAGGCTGAAGTGAAATCCCTCATTTATGGGGTTGTGATAGGACTGATAGCTGTGATCCTCCATTGCTATTGAATCACCTATTGAATTCGACAAATTTCCCTGCACAGCATGGATTTTTTTTTTGTCTTTGACAAGGCATTGCTGGACTAATTAATTCAAGAGTGTAGTTCTGTCTTATGCAGGCTGTAATACAGGAATTAATAATTCTTAGGAATCATAATTTTTTGAGTCCGAAGCAATAGCTCGTCTCATAGTTAATTTAAAATGAGATCCTCTGTTTGTGTTTGTGTATGGGGAGAGCATTCAGCTTGTGTGAATGGTTTCTGTACTTCACTGGTCCTAGATGGAAAGAGATAAACAAAAGTAGGGTAGTATTTCTTAATCACATAACCATCAGATCCAGCCTCTCTCATCCCAGCCTAGTCCTGAATAAATCTGTCCTTAATCGTTAGATACTCAAAATAGTAATTCTGGCTGGAAAAGAAGAAACAGAGCTGCTTTCTGAAAAGCTGGAGGAGTGAGTTGTGCAGGGATTTTGTGGCTTGACTATCCATGGAGCATCACAAGTTCTCTTCTTTATTACTCTCCCATTATTATAGGGTGACTCATGCTTTTCATTGCAACAGCCTTTTAGTCTGCATAACTTATCACCTAGCTAAAAAAAAAACAACTTTGTTTGGCATTTGAGTGTCAAGTATAGACTTTTTACCTGACATACTGACAAGCAATTTGATTTCAGTAAAAACATGTCTTTTAATTAGCTACAGCATGTGTTGCAGCTTCCATTTCCAGAAGCTGTTTAGCAGTCAAGCACACGGAGACATGTACAGGATTTATAGCTTCTTTGCAAGCCTGCAGTTTAATAGAATTAAATCATAAAATCAATTGAAAATTAACATAATGTTTTGATGTGATTTCTAATTATGCCTGAATTCAATTCAGGCTCACAGAAGAAGCTGACACACAGTAGAAAACCTATTCACAGTGGCCATGGAGAAACAACAAAGCAGCTATAGCATTGCTGTATAATAATTTGCAACAGGTGTCTCTGGTAGCTTTAATAGCTGAGCATTTAATGTCCTGTTTTTTAAGTATAGCAAATACAAGTGATAAGATTTTATGTATATTTTCACCAAGGGACTACAAGTAGATGATCAGGTACTTTCAATAGGTTTATCTTATATGACTTACAACAAAAAAGGACAGAGAAATCATAATTACTCTTAAGAAAGGAGTTGGTTTCTTGTTGGATTATTAATAGACCAAAACACATATTAAAAAAATACTTCCAAGAAACTATATATAATCCTGTCCCTGAAATTTAAATTAATAGCAACCAATAGTAAATCCCCTGGAAGCTGATAAAAGAGAGGTTATAGAAACCATCTAAGCAATTTGATTTTAGAACCCTCTTAATGGTGACCAGAATAGAGCTTCTTGAACCAGTTTTGCTTGAGTCATGATTTTATTATTCCAATACTTGATGATACTCATTTTTCACTGTTATGACTTCATGTTATTCCCTTCTGGACATATGTCCCAAAAAAATGATGAAATGCCATTCATACAAACATACTATGTAGAAATGTCCTTTCCTCTGAGGGAATACAGGTATGTTGCTGGTTGTATACCACAGAGTAACTTAACCTGAAAAGTAGCCATGTAGGTATTTTGTAGCAGGTATTTGTAGCTTTTGTGGATAGCAACATAAATTTATCACCCTATAGACCAGTCTGAGTTTCTGTCAGTTACAGATTCATTTTATATCTCTCCATTTTTTGGTTGCTTTGAATAGACATAATTTGCTAGACAAACTCCTTGACTGACATCCATATTTGGATTATATTCCTTTGGAGATCCTTGGAGCCATTGTAAATTGAATATCAATAGAAGCCTGTGGCAGTATTGTTTATTGGTGACTCAGAACCTGTAACAATCCAGAATTAAGAGCCCGAAATATTGATCATCAAGAACTCCTTTCTGTCAAAATCTGGAGTCATGTGATTCAAATTCAGTTGTTATATTTAAATGTTTCATCTTTAAGACCTCTATTACTTCTTTTCAATAATATTTGGAAGATCAAAAGAAGTCGCATAATGCCTGCCCCCATATCTAAGTCCATCAGAGGGGAAAAAGTTTTATGTATATATTCTCTTCACAAGGACATGATGTTGATCCAGAAAGTGAACCCCAAGGGAAAACCAAGCAGAATTCACAGATGCCTAGACAGGCATGACCATAATTTATCAGGCCCTTTTGAATATAATCTGTGCTTGTGTTCCAGATCCCCTCTTCTGGAAAAACTACAAGCAAATTCCAGCTGAAATAATCAGCGTGTGTGTTTCTAGTAAAGCATTGTGCAATCCACACAGACAGCTGACAGAGTTATGTTACAGGCGTCTGTAACTATTGACAAAGAGTGTAAGATCCTTGAAGGAACCATTGGAGGGATCCAGATTTCACTGGCTCTAAAGAGAGTATCTGAATTTCCGTCTAAGTTGGAGAGACAGGACATGCTACAGTTGGGTGATAACTGCCCAGCATTCTCCTTTTGGTGAAGTGTGGAAAAGACGCACTGCCCACCTCCTTCACCATTTTCTGACGCATACATTCTGCTTGCAGTTTAGCAGAGGTGATATAAACCTTCATTCAGTTTAACACAACAACCCAAATGTGATCTCTAAGGGCTAGGTACTAGGACCACATGAGGTGCTGGAGTTGGAATCACAAATCTCCATATGTGCATATCGAGTTACCAAATACCTTCAGATTTTAACTAGAAGACACAATTTCCCCACACACTTTGAAGGGCACATAATCTTGAAAAGAAAGTCTTTGTGGTAGATTGGGGTTTTTGGCCTTTTATTAGATCAAAATCAGTTTGGCTTCCCAAATTAATTCTTTTGCTTTCTTCATATTTGCACTAGATTTCATTATCTATGTCTGTAAAGGGAAAATTTGCTTTGCAGAAGAAAATGTTATTTTTGGTGTTTGGTTTCTTGTGTGCATGGCATGTGGGGAGGGGAAGCTTAGTGACAGTTTAGAAACATATAATGAGTTAATGTCATGTCTGGTCTAAGACAATTTAAAAAACAAAAACCAAAAAATGAAACCTGTTCATTTTCTTAAATTATACTAACCAATTTGGTCCCAGGCATCTAGGCAGCATTATTATTATCTGAGTATTTTGGAACTGGTGAACATTACATCTCTCTCATCCCTTACTGGAGCAGAGAAAACTTTGCCATCTAGTCTGAATACTCATTTGAAGATATTTATATTTCATTATATCTTAAGTGGCTAAAGGTGACTGGCTTGGTGAATTACTTTATATTCTTTGGAGTTCGTATTTAAACCTTACTGTTGTATTGTTTTAAAAACAGTACCGTGAAGGATGTTTAAATCAGGTCATTAATCTATTCAGTAATTTTTGTTGATGCCATATACAGCCCTTCTCATTAAAATAATGCTTTCATGTGTGTGCCTGACAGATATCAGCCCACCAGCACAAGGTGTGGATCACAGGCAAGTCCAGAAAGAACTGGGAGACGTCATTGTACGGCTGCACAATCCTGTTGTGCTGACCCCCACGACAGTTCAAGTCACCTGGACGGTGAGGCCTCTGCTATTTCCTTAACAGTGCTTTCAGTTTGCCTATTTTGCCTACTTATTACTTCAGGTTTTTACAACCCAGAGAAGCTCCATTCTTCACCCCAGCGTCACTGCTCTGACAAAATAACATTCTACAGGGGTGTGTGTATATATATATATATATGCACACATACACACATATATATATGTTAATGAAATAGTCTTTTTATTTTCTCTTTCAAGACAGGCAGGTTCAATGTCTTCAGTCTGTGAGTTGGCTGTCTGGCTAGAAAAATGTGATAAAAATGAATATGCTTAACACCATAATCTAGAGGATAGTTGATCTGTGGATTCATTACTGTGCATCTCAAAAAATAATCACAGTTAAATATCAACACAAAATTGCTGTATGAAAAAGCACTTTGCACTTCAAGGCATAGGGACCTCTGACAATACCCTATTATTTAGTGACCCAAAAATAAAAAAAATAACTTTATTATAGGGCATTTTTAGTGAAATCTCAAGCACATGGTGCTAATGCCTGGTCCACTGTGTAGCATCTGGTTTTCTAGCATAAGCCTTACCCACAATCTGAACATCCTTTCATTATAGAAGACCAGAGTCTTTTTGGCAGTACTTAACAACATTTCTATTTGAGGGGTCAAACTACTGGGTAGAATTTCTGATATAGTGCTTTGGCTTTCAAAATGCTATGTTTCCCTTCCTGAGGCTTGAAGGAAAGGATTTGTAACAGAAGGAGGAGAGAGTTCCCAGGGCACTGCACACCAGAAAGAGGGCTTTGCTCCTGGGACATCTGCCCCAGAGGATGGAGAACCACAGGTGGAAGAATAAGAGAAATAGTACTGCCCTGCACATCATTGAAACTGTTGTTTTATGTAGGGTGAATTCTGCTAAAGGGCTATTCACAATACTCAGGGGTTTTCTTCCACATGTCATGTTGCTAAGAGGTTAATGTGCACAGAGGATTACACGACAGGAGATAAGAAGTGTGGTGATAGATGGTGTATTATAAGGATTACTGTTGTTTTTGCACAACTCAGCCATATTTATGGGGGCTTATGCACCATCCTTGTTCTGACAGATTTCAGTGGTCAGGGTACAGATTAGAATAAAGAGAGAAACCCACAAATGTGTCTCTTTTAGAAGATTAATATTTAGAGTATGTGTCACTGCATTTTTCCTTTGATGATGTCAATATGCAGCTTGCCTTTCTAAAAACGCTCTGTTTCATCTACATACCTCCAGGACAGGCTGACTAACCTCTGCAGCAAACCCTTTTGCCCAAACAGATGGATCAGTAGTTTAGAAACTCTGGATGTTAGCAGTGAGTAATTGAAAACTTGGATCACATCCATGTGGTGTTCCTTCAAGCCCTTTCTTGGATGTGACAGCTATCAGAAACACAGTTTCATAGGCTGGCCCTTGCTTTAGCATATGCTACAGAAGGAACCTTCAGTATAAACAGAATTCAGTTTTATACCATGTAAACAATGCCATTATATTATAATGAAATATATATGTAGGTATTTATGTGTGTGTGTATATGGGGATATATATATATATTTCCCCTGAAAGGAGTCTCTTGGTGTCCCTACTGAACTAGTAATGAATGAAGAAAACATGGTAAGGTAAAGGTAAATTGTTGGGAATGCTCTGGATATCAGCTTATTGGGAAGATCCTCAAAGCAGTGACCCAATGCCACCTGACAAGCTCACAGGCCTCTGTAGAGACATTTTGGAATTGCCCATGGGAAGACACACACAAAGAAAGACCTCTGAAGCAGCTAATTAGAAACTACCCAGCAACCAGAACAAAACCAATTAATTAACCATAGTCTCTAGGAAAAAAACCCCACTCTACCCAGAGAATAAAGACCACAGTATTAATATAAAATGGTTAGATAGTGTAGCTATCATACAAAGCAACAGAAGTGCCATGAGGGTCATAAGACTCTTTGTGTTGACTTTCTGCAATTCAGAGAATGAATGCCAAGGAACGTCCTGTGTTAGTGAATTTCTGGCATCCTGACTCACAGCAAATTAATGCCACTTTCTTCCTCCTTTGTGAGATTGTTTTGGTTTTGCTTTCTCTTTATTTTTTTCCAAATTTGAGTTTAAAATTTCCAAAATAGTTTCCTACTAATGTGTTGCAATTTTAAAATATGCACACATATTTTATCTGTTTTAAAGGAAGGTCAGACTTACAAAGTGAGTGTTAAAGAAAATAAAAAAAAAAGAAGAGGAATGTCAGAAGTTAGGTTTTCAGTGTCACTTAAATGTATTCCTCTTGTGCATAGATATTAAAATATAGCTGTAATTATCTGGTCACATAGAGGATCTCTTCTTCATGGAACTATTCAACATTTCTTTTTATCTTCTTTATTCACTGTGTGGTGCCAGGTCTTATTAAATTCATTCTATTGAAAACTTTCATTGAATAAAAAATTATTAGTTTGTCTCACCATGCTTGCTTATCTGTCATGCTCTCAACTGTAACATTTGGGTGCTTCACAAATAATACTGAGTTTAACATCACAATGCTAAAATGTGTCATTATCCTAACTTTACACAGGGAGAGGTAAGGTGCAGAGGTAGTTGTTGCTGATGAGACCTGTGGAGTCAGATATGCCCACTGTTATCAAATGGTTAATTGCAAGCCCTGGACGTGAATTATTTTTACTTTTATCAAAAGATTTTGCTTTGCAAGAGCATATGGTGTACTCCAAGCTCTTTTTTAGCTGACCTCAGCTATGGTTCAGCACTTGTAACCTCAGTGGGCATTAAACTGAAAGTTTCTGGAGTGACCAGATATGAAATGTTTCCCACATTAGAAAGAAGCCCTGTGGCACAAGCAGGAATAAAAATACATTCTTCAATATGACAAAAGAATTGTTGCTTTGAAATACTGACTCCTTCTAGGAGGCTACCAGGCAGAGGGATAATTTATTTTCATCTGTCTTTTGATTTGATGTAGATCTTAAATGAATGTACTTCACTGGAAGCTTCAAGAGTCGAGTTCATTAGACTATCTTCCAGTGCCTCATCCCTTTTTGCCTTGTTCCTGTAGGACACATAAATACTAGTGCAGTTTGAATTTCCAGAGACTATTGAGAGCCCATGCTCGTGAGTTCAGCACAGCATGCAGGCTTTTTCTGCCCAGATGGAGAATTGCTGTGGGTATTGCTGTGGGAGCAGAGTATTTCATAGAGTATTTTGGGGTAGAAATTTCCATACTACAGAGCATATTACAAAATGTCTTTAGGGTGCAAATCAGCATGTTTGCCTGGGAAGAGCTTATATTTGTAGCATAATCTGCATTATGAGTTTCTTACCATCTTTTTAACAACCTAATAGCCATTGAACCTGTCTTGTGTTCTGCTGGGGCACGTGCAGATTTGAGCAGCCAGGGAAAATGAGGTTTTATTCTGCAGAAATGGTTTTGTAGGTGCCTCCTGCACTATGTAGTCATCATAAAAGGGGGTGAGAAAGAGCACATAGGACCAATTATACTTGTAGGTTGCCTTAAGCATTAGTTCAGTGCTTAGCAGCAACTACCCATAACTTCTTTCTTCTGCCTTTTAAGGAGCATTTGCATTTTCTGCCTCCTGTCCTTTGAGGGAGAAAGTGTGGCTTTAGATCAGCAGCTCTTGCAGATCTTTTGAGTTGGTATCACTGCTGCTTGTGCAAATTCAAGAGTAGTTAAGTGTCACAGGAAGACCAGAAATATTATCTGATCCAAATATTTAAATGCAGAGAGTTCCTGCAATCACTGAAGGAATGCTGAGCACTTTGTACAAGTGACAACAACTTACCAAAAAAAAAAAAAATATAAAAGAGAGAGAAATGAGAATACCTAGAAAATATTAAAGTCTTTCATCAAGTCACAGTGCGTGTTTCTGCAACTCTGCCTACGTGTGAACATGTACCAAACTTACAGAGTTGTTTAATGCTTAGGATAGTTGAAATAATTTCTTAATTGCTAAGCATATAAGGATGATTTTAGTGGCCTGCTGTGACACATAATTGGCATGACACATAATTACCACAAAAATGCAGCAAACTGTTAAGTCACAGGCTTTGTGTGTGCAAGTAAATAGACATATATGTATATGTATACATATGCACATATACATGTACAAATGTATATGTGTATATATATATGTGAAATATACCTGTCCTTTACCTTACAAATGTCTCTGGTCAGTCCATGTAATTATCCAAGAGTATTTTTTTACTATTTTGAAAACTCCAAACCAACCAAAAAGAAAAAATCTGCCTTTCTCAATAATTGAAGTAAGTGCAATTTGCCAATATTTTGACCTTTAAGAAGGCCCTGTTCATTCAGGGTAACTGAACATGAGATAGTGCTTTGTATCCTCTCTTTTATTCTGAATGCAACTGGATGTTTATAGAAAACATTAAAATGCATAGTATTTTCTCTTGGCAGTACCCTCCCTAAACATAAACAATGGAATGAACTCACTGTCAATAATGTGAAATTCAGGCAGATCACTCAGTCCAGTTGTAATCAAACTTCTGATTGAAAGCTCTGTGAAAATTGTGTGAGCCCCAAATCAAGCTAGTTTGTAGCACCCATAAACATGTCAGCCTTTTCATAACCCTTGTATTTTTTAGTCTTTCAGATGAGGAACTTAGAAGTCTGGGAGGAAAAGATGTATATGTACTACTTATATATTCCCATATATACACATATTTATTCCCACATATACACAAATAGATACAAAAGTGTAATGCAATCAGAATTGTTACACTATAGGCATAGTTTAGGGGTCCAGTTCTTCTCACTAAGTTGGTGGAAGCATTTGTGTTTGTGCTTTATAAAACACTTTCCCTTCTGTTTTGTAGCAACACAGTGTTCAGCCTCATCAATTCTGAATTTTCAGTTGTTCTCCACTAGGCAGCAGTCATTAGAGCTGGAACATACAGCAAAGAAGAGTTGGAAAGTTCTAAGAAAGTTATGCCACTTTTCTCTGTGGCTTCTAACTCAGAAGTTAGGCAAGAATCAAACTCGGTGTGTGATTATTAAACGTCATAGCATTATATTGTAATTTAGGTTAAGAAGCTGTATTGGAAAGTTCACGAAAGCGTTATTTTTGCTGAATTTTGGAGTAAACAAGAGGTTCATAGAAGTCTTCGTGTCCGTAAAACATTTAGTTAATCAAAGTCAAACATGGATAAAAACAATTTACTCTGATTTACAGACTCCCTTCATCTGGAAACAGCTGCTTAATGTTCTTCTTAAAAACACAGCTTGATTCTTTCGGTATTAACAAGCTATTATTGTGAGTTATATCCCTCTTTCAGTGCATAAATTCACTTAAAGTGAACGTAGAGAAGTTTATAAAATGCAAGCTTAATGTTGTTGTAACATATGTTGCAAGGTTTTTAACAGTGACAGTTTTGATGAAAGACATTTCTGCCTTGCTTTCATAAATAAAGCTTTCCTCTTGCTTGCCCTGCTTTTTAATGTCTAAGAGTCTGTGTCCCCACTGAAAGCCTCAATAAACTGTAACAAGATTATAGGAGAAGCGTAATAGACTGTGGTTTGTGTTTTCAGCCTTAAATTCGTTTATTCTTAAGAGAAGGCAAACAAATGTATCTCTAATTTTGGAATATCTTTGAGCTAGCAAATTGACAGGAACATAACAGATATCCTACTTGTTGAATCTTGGTTATAACCCAGAGATTTACCGAACACCTAACTGTATGGTCTTGTTTGTGCTGCACTTTTCTTTGCTCTTTATTTGATGCCTGCAGAAGCAGCTGGATTTGGTTTAGTTTTATGCATCAGATTGTTTTGACTGTTTTTTACAGGCAAAATTAATCCAAGCATCATAATAGCTAAAATCACTGGGGTTTGCCTTCTTTGTTTTTCCTGCAAGATAAAACACGTACATAGTTTTTCTTCAAATAAAAATCCTATTTATATTTATGATAGGTTAAAATTATTAAACTTCTAGGCATGGTCCAGGTCCAATCTTGAATTCTGCTTGCTTAGCAACAAATAAAATATAAACCAAAACCAACATTCCACCTCCATCTGATGGCCTGAAAGCATCACAGCCTCAGGATGCAAAGAGACTGCTCAGACTGTGAATGCAAGAAACAGCACATGTCTTTGGAAGTTGTTTTCCCTGCATCTGTCTTATGTTTATTTTATTTTCCTGTGCATCCCATGAGCTGTGAGCCAAGTAATGGACTAAATGTAAGCATGCAGGGTATCTTCAAAGACTTGTCCTTTTCTGAGAAGAATTTGTTTTTCTTTTCTTCTCATATATCAGCACATCAGTAGCCAAGACGTGCTTAGTAAGTTTACATGCAGCAAGCCTTATGCCAAAGTTTTCTTTTCATGATTTGTTGCAGGGGTGGGGCCTTGTTTTATGATTTTAGGTGGTATTTGCCATGATATACAGAGCTGGAGAAAGCAAAGCAGAAAGAAATGTTCTATAACAACTAATGTGAGACGAATGTTCTTTACAGGCAGTTAATCAAGAGTGACTTACGAGAAGGCAGTTTGATTATGAAATTCAGCATGCATGTTAATTTTCTCTTTTTGATGAGGACAAAAGTATCCTAGGCAAATGTTCTGCTTTCTTTTTGTACAGATCGTTTCTTTTTTTCATTTTCATTCGTTTATTGCTGTATTATGTGATGTCATTTCCAGGTTGACCGGCAATCCCAGTTTATTCAGGGCTACAGAGTGATGTACCGCCAAACGTCTGGCCTGCCTTCCCCAGCTGTGTGGCAGAATTTGGAGGTCAAAGTCCCCACTGAGCGCAGCGCTGTCCTCGTCAGCCTGAAAAAGGGGGTCACTTACGAAATTAAGGTTCGCCCTTATTTCAATGAGTTCCAAGGAATGGACAGTGAATCAAAGTCCGCTCGTACCACAGAGGAAGGTTGGTAAAAGGGTCAGAAAAGCAACAGGCTTCTGTAGCTACCACTGGGGGTGAGGAGAAGAGTGACCATTTTGGTTATGGTGTCTATGCATTTGTTCAGCTCTATTTCCTCCACGTGATTTCTGTGTGTTAGGTACACAGGTGATGTAAGAATTTGACATAATGTTCAGTTTTGTGCTTTAAGTGTTCCTCGAGAAAGCACTGGACCAGTCTTCTATTCTTTTAGTTCACACATCCTTCTAATGCACTGGTGACTTCCAAAAAGTGTGTGCTGCAACCATTCTTTTGTAACCAGTGCTGCTGCAATAAAAGGCTTTGGTCTGCACTTTGAAAAAAAAAAAAATGGAAGCTTTTGCAGGTGAGCATTTGATATTGAGCACATCTTTTGCAATGGGTAATAATGCAGATGAACAATTGGTTGGGAAATGAGGAGTAGAGAAGGACACGTATTTAACTGGTCTGAAGGAACTCCAGTCTCAAGGAGATGCCACTTCAATGTTTCTGTTAGCACACTGTTCGTGAAACTGCACTGTTCAGTCCTTTGGAGGATTTCCTTAAGCACCTTTCAAGCCTCTCTGAAACAGGCAGAGTTCAGACATAGTAAACAGTTTACACTACTGAGTTGTTCAGGCTTTCATATCTATAGCATATAGCCTGGTGTATAGTTTTGCTGAAGCATATGCACTCCAAGGCTACTGGTTTTGATTCGAAAAGCAAAGGGAGTGAGGTGAGATATAAGTAATTTTAATAATTTTCTCTTAGAAACCTGTCTTTCTACCTATCTAATGCAGCCTTTGCCTGGAGAATCTCTCCTGTAAATGCGAGATGCTCATAACAATGAGAATTTATTTCTCTGTTTCACTGATTTTTTTTCTTTTTTTTTTTTCCAAAACAAGGTAAAGAATTATTGGTGAAGCTTCAAAATGTTCATACGGTTTTAAAGGGTTCTGAGTGCACTCTTTCCTTTTATTGAAGGTGCATCTTAATCATTTACAGTGGTCTCCTGAGGTTTAGTGTTGATTGCCAAGTACTTTTTAATTCTAGAACAGACTTGCTTTTACTCACTTTTCCTCCTTGATTTTTTATGATTATTGTCCAACATGTAAGTAATCCTGAAGATAACTTGGTTGGAGTTTGCACTTTATGGATGAAGAAATTCACTGTCCTGCAGCATGTAGAGGAGTGCGTAGGAAGGCACTGTTCAAGTCTCATTTGGAATTTGGGAGTTTATGGTTCACAGTTCTTTGTTCTAACAGTAAAGCCCAATTCAGTTGGTAAAGAATATCTTTATATTCTACAGGTGAAATTGCTTTCCTAGAGTTAAAATGTAGGATTTTGTCTTCTCACTAACAGATTTTCTTCTTGTCTAATTTCAGTTGATTTTTGGTGTTTATTTAGCTTCATCTAACTGTCTCTTGCTAAAGATAAATTAAGAACTACTGGAAAAAAAAAAAAAAGATAAGATTTTATACTGCCTGTCTATTTCTGTAAAATACTTGAGGAATGACATTCTCTTTTATAAGCCTCAGCTCCCAGCAGAGCTTGTCAGGTAATTTCCTACCTTAAAGGACACTTTGTTCATGTGGAATAGCTTTCCACATAGTGAGGATTTAAAAAAAATTTCATGCCCACAGATATGTATAACTCACAGCCGAGGATCTGCTTTGTAGATTAATATAACCTTCAAGGAGTCTGTTTACAACTACCTCTTCTCAAAAAACCATCAGCCTAGAACAGGTAGTATTATCACCTGACAAATGTCAACCCCTGTAAAAAATTTTTCCTCTTCTTTGGGTGATAAAACTAAGTACTTCCATGAGAAAATTAAGGCATTCAGTAGGTGCAGTTTCTACAGATATTTCCTTTAATTCCTCATGTTATCCTTGTAATTATATTGGTGTTCATGTATTTCAAAAATAGCATCCACTAAATGTTTAATGAGAGTGGTTTGCTTCTCATGCACCGAAGAAAGATGGCAGTCTATTTAAAGGTATCCCACTCTCTCTGTCGCCTGTGATTCCATTTCGAAAATGAGCTTTTTTAGACTTGACTTGTAAAAAATGTCAGCTGTACTATTTTTAGAAAATAATTTGGGAGAGTGATACGCATGTTGGAAGCTTTTTTGTGACATCAAAACAAATAGCCCTGATAAAGGCAAAGTACGACCAAAAGGTAGTGGCAGCTTTCTGCTGGATTGGATTTTACATGCGATGCTACGTCTGAGGCCTACCTCCAAAAATCAATTTTGCTGCAGTTAGACTTCTCCTCGAGATCAGACATTTGTCACAGTTCAGTATCCATCCATCTCCTGCCTCTTTGGCCTTGTGAAGGTAACAAATGGAATTCTGTTTGGCGGCGTCTGGAAAAGATGAGCAGCGATTTGGGTTCTTTCATATCTGTAAGAAGAAGCTGAGCACTGGAATAATTGACCTGTCAAGAAGCAGGCAAGGTGTTCTCCACAAGGCAGCAGCAAGGGAAATGAGAAAATGGTTTTAAAAATGTTATTTTTCAATGTGATCTATTTAATAACTGCAGCAGTGTCAGACGAGTGGCTTAATTTATATCACGGTGCCAGCTTACAGAGTGATGTTATCAGAGAGAGGAAGCAGAACTATTATATACATATGTGTGTACACACATACAAAGAGGAGCTAAATCAAATATTTTATTTTATCACTTTCACTATTTCTTTCACACATGCTCTAGAGACAGAGGACTTTTTTTTTCAATTACATCCACTGTTTTAAATCTCTTTTGGAATAACTTTCTGAGGTAATCTTTTGTTTGTCACCACAAAAATAGGACAGTTGGTAGTGGAAGTCACCTTAGGTTTTAAAAGCTACTGTCTGTCAGTTCCTCCTCACCTGAGTCCAGCTCCTAAAATGATACTTTCAGCTGTATTCATCAGCTGCAGTTTTAGTTTTGCTTGCAAGTTATCATATATCCTCCAAAAAAAACCCAACCACATACTGGTAGAATATTAACTAGAATATTCATAGCATTTAAATGCAAAGACAAACAAATGAATACAGTGTGTTTTTCTTTAAATGGTAGAGTATGGTAGTCATTTTACATTTCTTTGCATTCACGCTCCCCCCCCTCAGGTATGTCTATATAAGAAATTATATTTCTGAATGCCCTTTTTGTTTGAGTAATGAAAGTACATATGTTTGAGTGAGCTGTTCCATTGTACTCAAAAACAAAAATGAGTTACACAGCGTTAAGCTTTACCATTTGTATGATTTTTATTTTAATTCAGAATATTCTAATTAATATCACACACAGGCATTTATTCACGGTTTTGTTGTTATTGCAGACTTGAAGACTTTTAAAATGCTAATTTTTTTACTGTGTGGCAAATGCTTTCACTTGCCATAAAACATACAAGGCAACTATTAACTTCACCAATTTTATGCTTTCCATAGTTGTAAGGAGTAGCCAAAGGCCACCTTTCTGTGCTTCACTTGAGCAGGCTAAGAGTCAAATTGTCCACAATGCAGCTCCATTTCTTCCCTCCAGTGCACTGTTTCTCTGCATCAGGCAAGGTCACAAGGACTATATCAAGCCCTACAAGCTTTACAGCTGAAAATGTAGCTGTTGAAATGTGCAGCCTCCAGGGACTGTAGTATGGGTTTCATGTTTCGTCTAATATATTTTTTTCTGATATAACCTTGTATGGTCCCTTGTCCCCACCTGTGATGCCCTGGTTTGAAGTTATGTCCTTCCTGCAGCAGAGTGCTCCAGCTCTTCAGGGTTGTCAGGGTAAAGATTGGAGCTCAGCTCCCTGAGCCTGTGCCAGGTCAAGTGCTGAGAAGCTTCCAAAGTGGGAAGGAACACAGCCAGTCCCAAACAGGTCATGGGGAACAATAAGAAAATCTGAATTGGCTCAGTAGACTTGAATACCTCTGATATCTGTGGCTGTGCTTAGTTGTGTTAAGCCTACCAGACTTTAAGACAAAGATGCCAGGGGTCTTGGCTTTCCTGGGAAGCGTGGTCCAAGCATGGTCATGCACTCATATATCTGTTAAAGATAAGTAGAGCCCTGTTGCCACAGAGCTCAGCAGTGAAGTCACTCTAGACCAGGGGAATGGAGTCAGGGAGCTGTGACACATGATGTGAGATGACCAAAACCAGAGGACTATCTAGACTTGAATTTGGGTTGGGGACTGATAAATATTTTAGGTTCTGGTACAAGGTCTACTGTAAGCCTTCAAAATCAGCATCCATATTCCATATTAAATGTTTTAAGATCATATTAAAGGCAATGACAAATACATGGAAGACAAATTCCATAAATAGTTATTAAACACAAAGACATCACCCTGGAACAGAAGGAATTCACAGTTTTCCGTGAATCGGAAAATTGTCCTGGAGAGGTATCAATATATATCTCACTTTATTAGTTCACACTTTCCTAGCCTCTTTCTATTAGTTTTGTTGAAGACTAGGTAGATGGGCTGGGAAAAACGAAATAGGTGGATTTTAGGTCCATTTCAGAGCAGCTGCTATCAATAACTTTTTCCCCTCTGGGACTATACCTTAATATAATACACTTGACCTTGGTGGCTTATCTTGCCACTGTGGTGGAGTTTCAGCACTTACCTGGAAGAAAGGGAAGGGCGAGAGAGTGCTGCAAGAGGTTATAAGTGGCTGGGGAGGGCCATATTCCCAGCACTCTGCTGTGGCAGCTGTAGCTATGGTGGGAAAACCCCACGAGGAGATGCAGCAGATGCTCACAGAGGGGACTTTTCCATAGCTGAGCTTCTGCTCCATTTCCCAATCAACTTGTCCTGAGCCAACAAAAGCACCCTGCTGCTGGTGTAGCTGCAACAGGGGCTTTGCCAGCATAGCCCTGATCACTAACAACTAGGATTTTTTATTTTTTTTCACACTTCTAGACAACTAGCAGGGCTGGCAAGCAATTGTCTTGCAGAATTGGCCATGGTATGCAGTGACCAGCCAAACAGCTGTGAATGGTTGAACTGGACAGGACTCTGAAGAGAAAACAATTTGCCTAGGGGAAAAAGAAAGACATAAGTATATATCTGTCCTAACTTAGCACCTGCCCTATTCACTGGCATTTGATGTAAAGCCATGAGCACTTTAAACCTTGCAACTCTGAAGAGGAAAAGGTTTAATGTTTAAACCTGTTCAGGCCAGGTGAAGCAGCTTCATGTGTGACTCAGTTGATATATGTATAACTATCCATGTTTATTATGGGAAACAAAGGCAAGAGTGAGACCCGTTCCAGTGCAAAATTAAGAACTGCTAAATATAAATAAGTGAGGAGTGATTTGTATTGATTCTCCATTGCCACAAATTCCACATTGTCATTCAGCTCTATGCTTCTCTCCAGAAAGGCATTTTTCAAAACTGACAGTGCCTAACAAAATGTGCACACCTAGGCCTGCAGGGAGTGTGAACTTTCTGCACTGCCTGCTTGCTCTTGCAGGGCTTCAGCAGAACTCGTGCTCTAGCAAATGGATTAATGTCCTGCCTCTGTTTGTTCTCTCTCCTTGGTGTAGCTCCAAGTGCCCCTCCTCAGTCTGTTACTGTCCTGACAGTTGGAAGCCACAACAGCACGAGCATCAGCATCTCCTGGGATCCTCCCCCTCCAGATCACCAAAATGGGGTCATCCAGGAGTATAAGGTAGAAACAATGTCTAATGGGAGGGTTGTGTGTTTAAGGAAACAACCTGCTTGAACAATAGCTGTGTTTATGGATTTAGATTCTGACAGCTTTTACAGCTGCCCATGTAATTATAGTGAGAAAGAGGACTGACTGCTTATGGATTTTTTTTTTTTTAAGCAGTACTACTGTTATATGAAAAAAATAAATACCATGGAAGAGAGATGTAATTTCCAGCTAGTTTACAGTACTTCTTGCTTTTCCCTGTTATGGAACAAGAGAAGAGGACTTTTTTATTAAGGGCTTCTGTACTCTAAACAGGCAGCGAAGTCCCTGTCTTAGACTGCCTTTAATCTGGCAGAAAAGCTGGCAGGAAAGATACTTTTTCTTTCCCCTGCAAAAGTGCTACTCCTGACACTTCAAGGTCAAAGTCAAGGACTGTGGCTCTGGGAGAGTACAAGGCTTCTTCTGAATACTGCTTCTGTCAAGCTTCACAATTTAAAATGCTGGATTGTTTGCTCTGAGGAACAGGTTGAACAGAACAACTCTATCCAGAGTTTGTTACATGAGAGTTGTTTTCATTGGGTTGTATATTTTTCTTCTTTGTTGCTATGATAGCTCAAAGTATCCAGTCCTTATTTTGTTGTAGTCTATAATTCCATGCTAAGATCACTTTTGCACAAGTGTATTTTCACAACAAGAAAGAAATGCAGTGTTATTGGGTTGGAGGACTAGGGAGAAATTGGTTGGGCAAGGTTCAGCACTATGGCAGGCTTGTGACCATGGAGCATGCTGCTTGGTAAATTAGCCTTGCTGTGACTGGCTTATACACCACGTGTGAAATTTTTAATTGAAATAGTACAGGGCAGCTTTCTTGACAGTCCCACAAAGGGTGGAAGTGGTGGGTGCAGCTTATTTCACATAAAAAGATGTAATTTTTTTGGCCATGGGGTATCTTGAGGGAACACAGCATGAAGAAGGGAGAAGGTGCTTGACTTTTAAATCAACTAATTGGTTCAACTTCTTCCACCTCTTTGTTTGGTCAGAGGGATGCAGTAAATGCAATATTTATGTTTAGCACAGGGCTTCCTTTGTCTTGCTTTTAGTCAATATCAAGATTTATTAATCCCAGTATTTTATTGATCTATTTTTCATATCAATTAATAATTATCTCTTGGCTTAATTAATCTTGGTCCTGACTCCGGTATAAGTCAATATAAACCGTCAAGGGCTTACAGGCAAATAAGTAAAGCACACTCCTAAACCACAAAATATGTAGATATGAAACAAAGAGAGCTGATGTTTAATAAAAGCCATGTTCCAGGTGAGTGCTCAGACCTCTGGGCTGTGTATAAAAACAGCTGGAGTCACTACCTATTACATCCCTTCTGTGTTAGATTACGTGGCTGCCTGATTAGTGAGCTGGCTGCAGGGACTGTGGTGCAGAGTTTAATATTTCCCTGAGTATAAAATGTCTGCTGAGGTTTCACAGTACAATTTCTGACAAATTGAAAGTAGATCTGTTGATTCCACTTCAAGCATCAGAGCGCCTGTAAATTCGTTTACGAATTAAATGCCTTTAATTAGAGGCGTCTCATAGCTGCTGTAACCTAAGACCAGGACAGATAAGGAGAAAAGGAATGAATGCAACAGTTTCTCACCCTAATTCATTCTGGTCTGTGAATAAGTTCTCACTGAGCTTAGGAAAACAAAGGAGTGTTTTTCTTTTCAAATCTTTCTCAGTGTTTCAGAAAAAAAAAGAGAAGGTGTGATAAAACACTAAGCAGGGTAAAAATAAGGGTAAACATAGCAGTGCTGTTGCTTAAATGCATCAGTTGGTTGCTGTCAGTGGTTCCACCAACAGTGCTTTCTTCTGCTGTTATTGTTGTGTGAATGTACATGCAATGTGTTTGTGCACTGATTTTCTTGAGTGGTAGTAAATGCTTTTAAAAATACCACAGAAGCAGTGTATGCAGATAACATTAACTGAAGAAGTATCCCTAGAAGATCTTTCCTTTGAAACCTCTTTGGAGAAACCTATAAAAAAATACCAGAGAGAGACATAGAACTTTGAAATCATAGAGAACTCTCATCACAAAATGCCAGCTGAGATTATAGAGTGGTTTTTCCTGTTTAATTATATAGTAATTGAATCAGGAACTGATACCTGGATTCCTAAACAACGTGAGTAATCAGAAAGGCAGCAGTACAAAGTGAGTCTGTACTTATTCCATTTCTTAAATTTCAAATATCCCTGTTGCAAAATGAAAGGAAGTCGGAAATAACTTTGAAAATTGTTTGCTCTTTTAGTACTTTAAGAAGTGTTTCAAACTATACTCATATTATTTGGTGTCTTTTTGTTATTCAGTGGAAGATTCAGAAGGAAAAAATGTGGGTTTTTTAAAGGACAGGTTTGGTGGTAATCATGTTACTGAACAAAATTTTAGTTAATGTATAACATTTTTTTTTCACTTGGATGATCTGGTCTGGGCTTCTAAGAAGTGTAACCACAGAATTTGCATTCCATAGAGAGCCCAAGTCCAGAGAGTTATTTGCAAGCAGTTTTTGCAGCTTGGTCTTGGTCCTGTGCTGATCTGGCACAGTTTGCTGAGCTAAATCATTCTAATTTCAGCTATTCCCGGACAGTAACACTGTTAAGAAGCCCGAAATAAGTGATTGTGATGACACACTTTGATATGTCATATCTGTGCACGATTGTGTGAGTGTGAAGAATTTCATCTCTTTTAACACATCAACTTTTGTCCCAGATCTGGTGCCTAGGTAATGAGACTCGATTTCATGTCAACAAAACAGTAGATGCAGCCATTCGGTCTGTAGTAATAGGTGGCCTATATCCAGGTATCCAGTACCGCGTGGAAGTTGCTGCAAGCACCAGTGCAGGTGTGGGAGTAAAAAGTGAGCCACAACCCATAATAATTGGTAAGTGATTGTCTGTTCTGTTGTTTTGTTTTGCCTGGGTTTTTTGGGGTTTGTTTGTTTGTTTGGGTTTTTGTTTTGTTTTGTTGGGTTTTTTTTTCTTTCAGAAATGCTTTCATAAATCACTTCTGCAAGCATAAAAATCCACGGAGGAAAAGACAAGATTTGAATAGAGCTGGTTAGTTAGCTTTTAACGTCCCACTGTCTACTAATGTTGTGTCTTCCCTTCATGCAGAGTTCTTGCAGCCAAGGGAGGGAAGTATGTACCCAAGACATAAGGCAAAATGCAGATTGTCTAGTGGAACTGACTTAATGTGGGTTTTTTTAATGAATTTACCACTTCTGCAGCTTGACGGATTTATGGAACTAACAGCCCAAGCTCCCTTTTCCTTCTCCTAAGATGACTGTAATATTGCCTTACTCATCCCTTTGGTGCCTAAGGCTCTGTTTATCGTTGTTTTCTGAACATTTGAAGCCAGTGTTTCTCAGGTATCCCAAGCAGACAAGTGTCCTCTGACAAAGAGGCCTTTAGACCAAATAGAGAGCAAAGGTAGCATTCTAATCCCTGCCTTTGAAATGGTCATTTCTTAGTAGTGGTTTCCATGCAGAATTGATTTCCTAACCTGAGGGAAACAAATTCTGTTTCTTCTGAAATTTTTCCTGAGTATAAAACATAAAGACAGGAACAATCTGGAAGAATAGGAGAAGTAGTCATAATTAGCAAACCTGAACTGAGCTATGCAAAGCAGCACCTCCTTTGAGTGCATAATACAGGAATTCTGTTGCTTTTATCTGTATGACCTAATTTAGTTATTACTTAAACATACTTTTGTTTATTTGTGGGACTTTTGTTGTTATTAAATATTTTCTTTCTAGAAAATGTTGTCAACACACTGTCCTAAACATGGACTATCATGTTATGTGTAGACCTTTAGAAAAGGCCATCCCTTAAGCATTGCTTACATGTTTAATGACGTTTGGGTTCCCCATTCATCAAAACAGAAACTAGCGTACTTCAACTTTGAATATATTGTCACTGGAGACAGAAATACAAGAGTGGAACAGTAGGAGGTATATTATTTCTTTAGTTAGAAATTGTCTCACTGTTCCAGGAATGCTGTGCCCATACTACAAGCAGGATGTCGAAAAATTTTATGGAACACTCAAAGAGAATCAAGAATAAAATTTTTATGATCACTAATGATACGCTAAAAAATTTTCTACTGGAAAACCAGACATAAAAGTGGAGATAATGGCAATGTTGGTTAATGCCATAGCTATTATTTCTCCTCATCAGTTGGCCTGTTCACTCTTACATTCCATCACTGGCGTAATAATATGAGGAACAGCTGCAAACTTTCACAGTAATAGGTACAATCGAATCTGATGTGTCTAATTAATTTTTGGTCCAACAAATTAGTTTTGTTCTTCATTACTCTCCAATGGGAGGAAGACATTATATTTCATTATGTTTTTGTCTTCGGGAACAATGGAGCGTTACAGGTCGCACACTTCCCTTGTCTATGTTCTAATTAGTTGAACTGACAGCATTGTTACAGAAACACCTGCAGTATATGAAATAGTACTACACTGGTACCTTGGATGACATATTTATTCCTTCTGCTTAAATATTATAAAAAGAAGTACAAAACTAATACCGTTTGTTTCCCCAACCCCCAACAATTATATTAATTTCATCAGACGTCAGTGGGCAACATTCATCTGTATCCATTTATTTTTCCGTCATCAAATTCACAAAGCATATGTTATTTTGACATTTAAATGAGTTATTACTTTTGCAGTTGTAATTGCTAGGCACCGAAGGGTAAGAGCAAGCAGCCAGACTGCAAACTTTAGAAGGTAATTTGGAGACAGATTGCATCTTCCCCTAGAAGAGAGGGAGAGAGTAAAGCCCACCGAAAGCTCTCCACAGGCTCTTTGTGGTTTGCTCTCACATCCTACCATTTTCAAAAGACTGGTTTCTGACTTTAGAGAAGAAGATGGGATCCTCAGATGTTTTGGAGGCTTTAGTGGGCAGAGCTTGTACTTTTCTTGAGTCCAGGAGGATCAGCTTCCAAAATTGGTCTCTTGAAGCACATAACTGCCTGCTCTTCTCCATGGCAGCACAACTACCTTTGAAGTAGTGCCAAAATTACCTGTTTCTCCACCGTCCCACTGATTTGACCTCTCTTCCAAAGGGCACAGAAATTAACTGTAAGTTAATGGCAATTAAAGCAACACGAATTCCCATGCTGATTTCTACTAGAAAATGAATTGTGTGCCTGGAAGAGCATGCCACAGAGTGCCTCCTTCTCTTAGTTTTGCTCTCAACCCTTCCTCTTTCAGCACTGGGATGCACCTATAGTTGGTTCCATGGGCAGAAAAAACAGGGAAAAATCAGATGAAGGAGCCACCACTGTCTCCCTTCTTTTCCTTGTCACAAGTGCTCACTCAGTTTCATTCTCCCTTACTGCAACAGAACTGGAAACCGCTGGGCCTTTGGCAGAGGCAAGACAAGAGAGGAGAGCATGGGAGAGGACAGCTGCAGTTCCCAGGCCCTAACATTATTAGAGCTCACCAGCATGGCCAGTGTAGACTGACACATGACACCAGCACTGGTGTACTGCCTTTTTACACATTAGCAGGCCTAGTCTGGCAGCATCGTTCTGTGGGACCTATTTCGCTTGTGGGAAGCCCGTTTTGTCTCTTGCCCAGAACGACTGAAAGCAAGCCAAACTCTAGCACAGTTTTAACAGTCTGTTTGCAGAAGCAGACGGTCATCATTACTAAATATTGACATGGTGCTGAAAGAGAGAAGGCTTAATAAAATGCCCGAGCTCCTCAGCGGTGTGATAGCAGTGCAATGCAGCGCATCGCGTTCCTTACCGAGTAACTCGGCCCGGCTCTGAGCACCGTCGAGGGCCTGAAGCTGCATCTTGGCTGGGGCAGTGCTGGGCAGAGCCAGTCCCTGAGGGAGCGGGGCAGGGAGGGCACGCTCAGCCTGACAGGCTCTCTGTGAGGGATCCCCAGAGGCAGCTTGGCTCTGGGTCACCTGCAAAGAGGTGTCTGTGGAAACAGAACTGGAAGTTGTCAGAATTCTCGCGTCTGTTTTAGCCAGTGACCCTGTTTGGTGGCTTTAGGTGAGCTGGTCTGTTGAAAGAAGCGAGTGGTAAATCTAACCATTGCTGAATTGTAGAAGAGAAATACATCCTGTTTTCACAGCAAGGCATAATGATACAATGCTTTTAATAATTTCCTGTGAATGGCCATTTCAGTGTTTTATTGAAATATTCGACTACCTTTATACATGTGTGATATGACTTTCATAATTGAGAATCATAGTGTTTCTATCTTTTTTGTCTCAGTAGAGTAGCTACTCTTGCAGCTCCTCAGCATGCATAGAGGCATCTGGTAATATTGCATAAACATTTCAAGGATTGAGCTATATAAATGCTTTTACTGGAAAAGATGGATAATATTTCACAAATTTCCAAACTGCAGATGTGGGCAGTTTATATCAAATGTACATAGAATCAATATTCATGGGGGGGAGGGAGGTTTGCAGAAAAATATGTTCTGAATTTCCTAATTGCAAAACTTAACTATTTTTGACAAGGGGAGATTTGAAGTAGAAAAGTGCTGGCGTTAGAACTAAATACTTTAGCATTTCCTGAATTTCCATTCAGATTTTTATGATCATTTGTTTTCCAGCCAGACATCAAGCTTTTCCTTTTGAAAAAGTTCCCTTTTAGAGAAAGAGTGGGAAAAAATATATATATTCAAACACCTACTGAAATTTACAGTTTTCTAATGTAACGTACAATTTAAGATCCCATATAGTAATTTTTGATGTGGGTAATTTTAATTGGGATTCCACGTAATAATTATTTCTTACAGGTTGATGTTAAGAATTTGTCATGCGTATCGTATGTGAAAAAAATAGCATCTGTTGCTGTGATTACTTAGAGTTTGCAGTTAACTGTGTGATTTTCTGCTTTGTGTCAAAGCTGATGCACTTAGAATTTGTATGGATTGTTTTCCCCATGAAATAATTTCTGGAAAATACACTTTATATTTGATTTCAAATTTGGAAACTCCAGCATTCAGGAGAAACAAATGAGTTAAGTAAGAATTTTTGGCATGCTGACAGCAATGAGAGAAGAATCTTCTGATGTTGTAACATATTTTATGTTTGGATTTCTCATTTGGAAAAAGCCATTTATTGATTGCTTGATTTATTTTTTATTAGTTTCCTATAATCCATTTTCTCATTATTTTATCCTGTCTATAATTATGTGAAAACAAACCAACAAGTATGTATATTGTTTAAAAAAAAGAAAGCTCTGGATTTACATCTGTTAGGTTACTTGAGAGTGTGCTGTAGATCTCTTTTCAAATACATGTTTGCAAAATGGCTGTGGATTTACTCTCTAGAAACACTGGGTTTCTGGTGTGCTTTGCTACTCCTTGAAGTTCTTCTACTGTGGATAATTCTTTTCAGGTCCATTACTTTTTCTTTTTTTGCTGATTTTCATTAGCAGTACTCGCTTCCTCTTTGTGTTACAGAATCCATAATGGCCTCATGCCTTTGAATTTCTTTTGTGCAGGAGGTCGTAATGAAGTTGTCATCACCGAAAATAACAACAGCATAACTGAGCAAATCACTGATGTTGTCAAACAGCCTGCCTTTATAGCTGGCATCGGTGGTGCATGTTGGGTGATTCTGATGGGTTTCAGCATCTGGCTGTACTGGCGAAGAAAGAAGAGGAAGGGGCTCAGCAATTATGCTGGTAAGAACAGTAGCTTTACTGCCATCTCATCAGGTTTGGTCATGAAGAGAACAGGGCCTCTTAAACCTACTTAAAAACCACATTGAACTTCCAACAAAAGTGTCCTGGGTGAATTTCGTATGCTTGTTTTTAATGTACGCCGTGAAACTGCTGTTGTATGAGAAGCTTTAAATGCATTGCTCGGTACCACATTTCATCATTGTCATAAGACAGTATTTTTTACATCTCCAGCACATCTAGCATAAAGAAGACACTCTGTTAGCAGTGCAGCTCTGTTTATGTTTAGAATATTTCTATTCTAAATATGAACTAGACTAGACCCTCATAAGGAAGGTTAGAGAGTTTTTGGTCTTCTCCTTTGTTCCCATGCATTTCCATGTCTCTGAAGCCATGTGCATGGGAAATAAATGGATGTGTTTAATCAGTGACTTCATACCTATAGCTGGAAGAGAAGAATGATGTGTTAGACAGAGAAATGTGGTCAAAATTTACTTATGGCAGAAACCATAAAAAGATTCGTCTTTGAGGTAGAACATCTTGGAATATCCTCTTGTACCAAATGTTTCTTCCAGTTACAAATTAGTTTTTGAAAACTACATTTGGAAAAATAAATACACCTGCCAAATGAAAATATTTTCATCTTTCCCCAACCACTTTGTTTTGTGTATTCTGTGCTTCAGGATTCTTATGAATTCTTAGGGAGTCAAGTGATCACCCATAAATCTGAAGGTCACTCTGAAGCCTAATTTAACACACAACCCCCTCCCCATTCTTCAGGCATTGGGACAGGTTCTCTAGAAGTGCTTATTAACATTTAAAAAGAGAAAACTTTTTTTTTTTTTTTTGAGGAAGATTAGCCCAGTTGAGGACACAGCATATTTAATGTTGACATTTTGTCACACTCAAGTTACACAAGTGCTCTTCTATTACATGTGAACCTGAGGACACAGGTTCCCTAAGTGGCTGAGCATTTCTAACTCCTTGCCAAAACCCCACATTCATTCACAGCCCAAATGTCCTTCTCAGCTTAGCATTACCCATCGTGAGACTCCTCAGTGTCCTGACTGGGCTCACTAAACCAGAAGGAAACTATTCCATGCTGGTTTTCAATCCTTCCTGCTGGATTTGTTTTCCACTGGCTTAGTGAAACAGGGAAGATCAAGAAAATGTGAGATGAGCAGTAGAGGACAAGAGTAAGGAGAGACCAGTGGCTTTTGAATCTTCTTGGTTTCTGTGGAACCTCATCTTGTATCACCACGTGACCTCTGACATTCATGGGTTGTGTATTTTCGTGGTTTTCTTTTTCTTTTTTCTTTTTTCTTTCTTTAACAGCAGTGACTTTTGCTCTCTCAGAGGTAGGGTGTTGTTAACTGAGAATCTAATATTTCTTTCACACACCTATAGGTGTGTTTCTATGAAACATCATTCCAGATCCCAAGATTTTTCATACTAGGGGACAGCTGGGCTGTTATTCCTCTTAGGAAAGAGTCCTACATAGATTTTTGGACGCAAGTTAAAATTAGTCTTTTCTTAAAAAGGAGAATTATTAGCCCAGTATGTGAGTTGACAAACTGGGGAGGAACAGGGGAGAATTGAGAGCAAAGTCTTTTATACCTTTAAATGCATAGCTGTAAGTAACCATAACAGTTGTAATAAACTGTGTCTCCTGCAACTCATTCCTTCTCATGACGTTTGCTGCATCTACGTGTGATGTGAACATTGCATCATGAAATTGTGTGTGCTTTCAGCAAGGAATGTAGATAACAGATCATGCTTCAAAATTCATCCTAGTGTTTTCAATTTGGAGAACAGCATGTCCACACAGAGAGTCTTCAAATGTGACTGTTGAAGTTCACTGCTCATCTTTCCGACCATCGTCTCTCATTGGCTGCTGGCTGGTCAGTGCTTTAAGCTCAGCTGCTATGTCCTGCTTATGATATTCAACCCCGGCTTGAGTAAATTCCAGAGGAAACTCGTGCCCTGCAATTAGCCCTATTTCTCTGGGTGTGTAACTCACAATGTGTTTGCTTTCTTGTTTTGCAGTTCAGTCCTTCACCTTCACCCCTGCAGGTACTGTCCATTAGTCTGTCTCTTACCTCACTAGCACATCACTGCAAACATTAGCTAAGGCTTTATGAACATGTGAGATATGCAGAATCGAAACCAAATACAAGGAGAAATACTTTGGCTGCCTATCTGTGATAAAAATGTAGTATTTATTTCCCTAGTGATCCAAGGGGAACATAATAAAATCTGCCACCATTAATGTCTCTGTCACTGTAATTCTGCATACTTACTCACCTAACTCCTTGAAATAATGCAGTTTTGAAAGTAATTTGCAGGACAAGATGCTTGAACTGGCTTAACATGAACAGGCATTAGTCATATATAACTGAATTTTGATTTTTTAAAGCTAATGTATCTTGAATATTTTTGCAGTGGAGAAATGGAACTTTCTTCCACTTTAGCCCTTAGTTATGTATATGTTTGCTTTACTGTGAGGTGTTCAGATCTTCAAGCAACCTAGGGATTAACAGATTCACTTGTTTCCTTTACAGGGTTTTTGGAATTAAAGCATTTTCTTTTTTTCTGACTACCCAGTTCAAAACTGGTATCCTATTTTTCATATCTTTAAAAAGATAGCATACGGTAGACTATTATCATAAACATGATTAAAGATATCTGAAGGATAAACCAAGTGTGGCTGAAACAGCAGGTTGCAAACAGCTTATTCAACATATGGATAGCCAGAAAAAATAGAGTACAGAATTAATAGTAATAATGGATACAAATAAATAGCTTCTGCTCCTGTAATTAATCGCGACATTTAAAAACTTTAAAGTAATTGTACCTCAGTGTTACAGGGTAAAAGACTGATAAATCTCATCATTTTCCAGCAGAAGTCTGTAAAGTTTTCTGTGTGTAGTTTGGCCACTCAGTTTCATTTACCAAAGCTGTCTCCTCTTCTGTCCTCTCTGCCATCCATGTGATAGAGTCCAGTCTTCCTACTGCACTGCTGAACCAGTCCTCATGCTCAGGTAGCTGCTTTCTCACTCTTGCTTGTCTTCAGCCACAGCTTTTGTGTTTACCTTAAGCAGGAAAGGGCAAATGACTGTCAGGACATGTGAGTGAAGGTGGTGGTGTCTGCCCCAAGAGCCTGTGACACTGTGAGGGAGAAATGTCCTTGTGGAAAAGCTCCGGGGGCTCAGGATTGCTCCTCTAGCTCCCAGGCAGGTTTGGCCGAGCTGGTGCAAGTAGAGGCACAACACTTCCTAACCTAAATGCTTTACTGGCTTTTCTTTGAAAGACAACACAGGATTTTTTCCCAAAATTCAATAGTTTGTCTTTGCATTTGGTTCCTACAACTGTGCCACTGTCAGCTATCTTTAACTTTAAACACAACTTTCCACTGTGTTTGTAGCATACACTGGCATGTGTGTTGTGCTGTAGCCACAGTGGCTGTGCATGATTTAGTGCTCGTGATCCACACGTGCTGGGAAACCAGGATATGTCAGAGGCACTGCCAAAAGTGTACTTTTTTTAAAAGTAATTTTGACGTCTTGTGGACATCATAGAACTAAAAGATCCCACAGTTCTGTTTCCTGGCCTATCATCGTTTCTGGAGGCACTGAGAACCTAAGTCATCCAGTAGTTAAGTCCAAAAAAGCAATCACTAATTTAAAAAAAAGTCTTCCTTAGGACAGAACGTAGTCCATAATTTTTATCTTTATACCCAGAGTTCCATAAGAAACTTTGTTAATTCGCTACTATTTAATTTGCCATTGGTATAATATAATTTAGACGAACATATCTGTGCTTGTGGGGATTAGTCACTCACAACTGTGTGTTGTTCCCTCCAAAGTTATGATTCATAAATGGTTTGGGTTTAGATCTAATTATTTAGAGAGAGGTATGTAGCTTTCAGGATCTCATCAGAGACAGCTGTCAATGAAGTTTTACTAAAGATGAATTTATCCTAATATACTCAGATTTTAGAAGGTGCTCAACTTTTGTTCAGACATCTGCTTTAAATCTTTCAGAGAGTTGCAGAACATGCACATTTGATTGTATGATAAAGGGAATTGAATCTTTTAGTGGAACATTCAAACACTTACTTTATTTCACACACAAAACAAACCCCTATTATTTCTGATGTGAATACTTTTTGGGTTGTTTTTCTTCAGCTGCATTTGCCTGTGTGTAGAACTTAGAACACTGAAAATAGTTGTTTAAAAGTCTGACTCCTGTAGTTTTATAATTACTTGCTAAAAATGTTCTTTTGGGTAATTTTCAGATTATGGGTCATTCACTAGGCTTGTGTGTTATTTGTATTCTGTTATTAGGAGCCTAAGATGTATAATTTCTGCTGTGAGACTAAACTACTGTAACACCCCGTGCAGGGGAAGAGCAAACAACAAATGTCAGGCAGTTGGTAGCGATTTGTTTCAGAGAAGAATAACTGAGTTAAATTCATTAAGTTCTCTGTCTTTGTGAACATATTCGTAAGTACCGAGAGGTTGCTCAGATGGTCACAGGTAAAGTGACATTGAAAATCATAGCTAAATTTTTTTGGTTACTTTCAGTTGAACTGACTCCAGCAGTTGCTGAGCCACAATTCTGTACATCACTATTCTTCCACTTCCCTTTCCCCCTTCATGACTCACCAGGCATTGATTCTCAGTAATATCAGTCCTACAAGACATATGATTAGCTAATATGTTTGTTAGATTACTACTGATAAGTAGTAGTGTCATCATCTGCAGCTATACCAGAGCTATACATTGTTGTGACCATGTAAACCCCAAATCTGGCATAGAAACAGTAGAATACAAGTGTTACTCCTTTTTAGCCATCACTTCTGTAATAAAAAGATAGATACTTTTGTGAGCTTCTGTGAAAGCTAAAGTACTGCTGGTCTGGGGTTTTTATGGTACTTTTCTGGTTACACTTTACTTGGACAACTGCCTGGATATAAACACGCACATGATACAAAGATAGATGGCACAAACCAGATATCTGAACACTTCTTGTATAACAGATGAATTATTTCAGTGCTGTATTACAGTGACAAAACAGAATTTGTTTATTTATCTCCTTATCTTTCCTGTGCCCTCAAACTTGTGCCAGTACCCACTCACTTGAATACTCAGGTGTTTTCAAGTGTCTAGGCCATCAGCCATGCAAAAAAAAAAAAAGTAAATATGTATTTTCACTTACGAGTAGATAAGCTTATTTAGTGACTAGTGCTCCTTGGGATTAAAGATTTCACAGAGCTGAATAAACAAAAAACAAATTAAAAATAGATAGAGAATCATGAAATGCTACGCATTTTATGTGCAACTCCTGAAACTGTTAAATGTGGATAAACTGTATGACAGAATCATCCAAAGGTAGACAGAAGATTTGATGGAATTTTTATGTGCTGATTATCTGTTCTGAGTTAATGCTTATTAAAAGAGGATTAATCTACATTCATATTTGAGAAACAGCTTATCAGAAAAAGGAATGAGACATGGCTGGCAACATTAAAGTTTTCATTTGCAGTAGGAAAATGTGGCCTACTAGAGATAGGCATACAGAAAGCTTTCTAAAGCTTTCTAAAGCTTTCTTGCCTCAGAATGTCGACTTACTATACATTCATATTTTTCCAGTTCTAGCAGGCATGAAGATTAAGTTTAACCTTGTCAGATAATATTAGTAAATGGTTTTGGTACCTCCTTATATATTTAATAAAAAGCATCTGAAAAGCTCCTTAACATATGCTGTTTTTCATACAAATATATACAATATAATTTCCTGAAATATTTATGCATTTAAAATGCTCTTTGGATTATATTTCTGCATTTTTACAGTCCTTGAAGTATAAGCTGGTGGGGATTCCTTCAAAATCTCTCTATGCAGAGGTTATTTTTTCATCTCCTTTTGAAAACCAATCTCACCCCTGCAGGTCTTCAGCCTTTCTAAGAACATATATCAGATGCAAAGACTGCTGAAAGAGCTGTTTTGCTTCCTTGGTGATAAAAAGCAAGGGAGATGGGTGGGTCAGTGATAGGGACATCCTTCCCTTCCTCCTCTTACACTGCCCCTTGAAATTGCTCTGCTGCTTTTTGAAGTGGAGGCAGGATGAATAAAGCCAGCTGTCTGTGTGTTTTATTTTTACAGTGACATCTACAAGCCTGCACTGCATTAAGTCTGCTTCTATTCAGGCGTTTAGACTTGTTTTGTAATTGCAGAAATCAAACTGCAGGCAAAAATGCTGACAAAATGCATGGCAGGAATGATAAACATAGTGCTTGTGTTGGCAGCCTGACCATATCTTCTGTTGTTAGCTGTCTTTCCTTTCACAACATTGATGCTAAAGAAAAAGCACCTTCTCTATCCAGCCTTAGGTAGCCCATTCATGGATGGCATCAGGAACAGGTTTTGTTGTGTTTTTTTGCTGGTGAAATGTCCACACTTTAAGAGGAATTTTGGCATGCTTAATTAATATGCCAGAACCTCTTCCACCAAGCAGAGGAAACAACTCAAATACTTCCTTCTTTGTTTTCTCATTGCATACACTGGTATACAGGGTGGAGGGTAAACGAAAGAACCTGTATTCCTTCCCAGTTCCATACACATCACATAAGCACAGTCTTCCCCAGGAAAAACAATGTCACTGCAAGAAAGGTTCTTTTTTTTTTATTTATTTATTTAAACTAAGCTGAACCTTTCTTCTAAAAATGGTGCTTATATTGGGAGAGTGTAAGATTAATGTAGGCAAAAAACCCAAAACAAAACAAGAAATAGTTCCTACCACAAGGATACACAGGTAGAAGAAAAAGGAGCAAATGCTGTGACACCTGTCTGTTCTCAACAATCTCATATGTCACAGCCAACCTGCAGCAACTGTGGCTCTAGCAAAGAGGTTTTGGTGTCATTTCTTCCCAGTATGTTTCTCACAGCTTGCCTTGGAGTTTTCCCATCCCTGACTACCCAGAAAATAAACTGTGTCAGGCAAATATTGCTGCAATCTCCTACTAGCCCCTCCATTTAGCTTTACACAATAAAGCTAGACAAGGGATATAACCATTTTGAAGAGCACAAATACTGTTGGGATTTTTTTTTTTCTTCATATGACATGCAAACTTAAAATCTCACACACTTGTATGTGCTATACAAGTGGTGACAAAATAACTTCAAAATTATTTCTGGGTGATGATAGTCTAAAAAAGAGCATTAATCCCAAGCATTTTTTAGAAAATATGTTTTAGTGGAATTCCCTTAAATCTGTAAACTTTATTATTATGGATTGTTTCCCAATTAGCCTTTCTTTCTCATTTGCCTTATATCTTGTCACTTTGACAAATGCAGAAAGTTGGAGGAATCAAGTACTAAATCTGAAGGGGAGGAGGAGAAAGGAAGCAACATCTGATGTACTTTTGAACAAAATACTTTGAAACAGCCAGGCAGTGCCCACATTTTTGCATATTCATGGTAGTCACAGCACTTCAGATTATTTACTTTTAAGCAACGAGTGATACAGTCATTTGACAGCTTGTTAGAGAAAGCAGCGTTGGCTCTAAAATGAATTACCTGCAGTGTTTTACCATGTCTTGTTTTTCAATAGCAGGTTTTTATTTAATACTTTCCATACTTGCATTTTGATTTTCTTTTCATTAATTGGTTTGATTACATCCTTTCAAAATTCAGCTATTAACCATTTTAATGTGACATATGACTGCAGTGATTTTCTGATATTGATATTAGTCTGCTCTGCAGTGAAAGATAATTAATCACCCTACCCAAGCACTCTTCCAGCAGAGCTTCCAGAGGGGCCAGTTTTGTCCCCTTTGCTGAATGTAGACTGTGAAATTATCCTAGGAGTTAATAAAGTGACAAGGATTCTATAAGGTATCAGAAGTATTTTCCCAGTGGATTTATGCCATTGCTAATTCTTTTAATGATCACAGAATTTCTATTGGGTGTGATTAGAATAGTGTATAATAGCCTAATTCTGAATTAGTGCAGTCTGGACCAATACTTGGAAAATCTTGCAAATATTCTGGGAGCTATAATTTAACAATGGGAATGTACGTCTTACAAAGGTAAACAGTATTTCCAAACCAAGGCCTATGTTAAAATAACCTGGCCACAGACTTTTCCATTCCTCTCTGAAATTCAAACCCTCACCTTGTCAGAGGCCTGTAAGGATGCAACTGTCCAGGACACTGATATAATTTAATAGTCTGCCTTATCTGTGCTTGACAATAAATAATGGGATATTGCCACTGAGGACCAGAGTAGTCTGTTGGCCTTGGTTCAAAATATTTACCAGTGCTTCAAAAAGGAGCATGCAATATTGTCAATTAGCACCTCACCAGTAATGTGGGTTTACCTATATTGCCCTGAAATGTAATCCTGTTAATAAGATAGATAAAGGAGAGGCTGGTTTTTGTCAAACACCCGTGAATGGAGACATAAAAACAATTGCCTCCCTCTGATTATGTCCTTGGCATCCCCCATGGGTGGAAGACTGGAAACACTATTTCTTCCCAGTGACACTGGCATGTATGCATTTATGTGTGGCTGCTAGTTCCTAAACTGTCCTTCTGATGGAAATGGTACAGCTGTATGATTTTTTCCATCCCTTCAGCTGTAATAGAGCTGCCACCTCTTTCCCAGGACTGTTTGTCCTGGGAAATGGCATATTTGTGTGGTGACATTATATTACTGCATTAGGACATGATGTTATTAACTCACTGGTGCAATGTCATTATGTACAGAAGCAAAAGCATGCGAAGAAACAATTTCATCACATGGCTCAGTCTTGCAAGGCAAAGTCATATGAAGGGGCCTGTGGTAAATCCAGGCCTTTTGCCCAGATGGCTGGTTTGCCTTGCAAGCTACAGAGCAAGTTGGTGTCAGTCAGTAGCGTGCAGTGAAATCCTAAACAAACTGTAACCCTCATGTGCTTGATCCTGTTCTTATAATTTCTGTGCTTTATTATGTGATGATGCCAAGAAACCTCCTATCTTGGACACTGAGCAGTTTGAATTGTTACTTTAAATTATTACTAATTGATTTTCCCCTGTCTTATATGTGTGTGCTTGTGTGTGTGTGTGTATGTTTGTTTGTTTTGTTTTCTTCCAACCAAAACACAGTCACTTTCCAAAGAGGAGATGGAGGACTAATGAGCAATGGAAGGTATGTTTCTTTGTATAAAGGTCTTTCCATTGTATTTATTTTTAAAAGTAGGGATCTGAACCATGCTGTAGGTGATGCACTTAGGTCATAACAGATTATTGGGAAGACTGGCAACATTGGAGGAGTTAAGTAGCTTACCACAGGGTTTAATGACCTATCTGTTGTGCATTTTGTAGGAATCAAGCCCAGATGTTTCATATCTCCCAGATGCCCTGGAAGAAATGAGTAGTAAATATCACAAAGAATGTGTTCATTTGTTACCAGGATGTTTATTGCATTAATTAGACATTAGCAAATGAAGTTGCTGTTGTTTAAGACTCCTTATTGGCTCCCCCTAAATTGCTGTGAGTGAACAATTACACTTAATCGATCATGAAATAAATGATTCATGGATGATGAATAGGCTGTAGATTGATAGGACTGGATTCCACAACTTTGGCTACTCAATTGAAATTGATAAAAGCTGATAACGGGCCCATATATCCTCATCTATTTTCCCTTTGCCAATATGGAGATTGTAATTAGGCCCTGGTAATAACTTCCAATCTCCTGTTTAATCAATATTTTAGCAAAAAGAGATTAGGCCTAATGAGAGCAAGTAGATGTGGCGAGAACGTGGCTGGGCCTTCTTATTGTCGTTTCCATGGAAACTGATGTTTCTCTTAGGGATTGTGCCAGGCAGGGGTCTATAATGTACAATGATCGGAGATGTTGCTCCAACTTCATGAGTGCTTTAATAACCTAGAAAAGCTGCAGAACTGTGGATGGCTTTTTGTTTTCATTTGGGGAAAGTGGGGGGGGTGTCTGCAGGAAATTGTTTGTTTTCCCTGTGAAACACAAATACAAACAATCCACCTGCCTTGCTAAATTTCTGTTTATCCTGGTCCGAGGGTGCCTTCCCTTTCACCACGCTCGCTGTTTAATACTGCTCTCAAAGCTGGGAATTACAGGGATATAAAAGCCATGCAGTAGTGGCAGATAGAGATAGCTGTGGACTTTCCATTAATCCTACTCAAACCTGTTTGCCTCTAAACCATCCAAGAGTGCTCAAAGAAAGAGTTACCAGCCTACAGATGACAGGCACGCATTTGGGATGCAAGGGAAGGAAGAAATAGTAGCCCAAAGTCCTGGAAATGGCTGATATGGAGCAATCAGTTTGAGTGATGGCTCCCTTGAGGTGGTAATTTATCATGCAGCCCTGTTGTAGGATCCCGTGATGGTGCTGCCTAACTCCTGTTTCACACAGACAACGGAGTTCATTTGGATTCTGGCAGAGTCACGACGGATGCCTAGTCCCACTTCTACTGACAAAGTTGATTTGTATATAACCTTAATTAACTGCTCAAGGTCTTTAAATCATCCAAGGCTACACAGTTTTAAATTGAAATAAATTAAAGTCTTCTAAATTGTTAGTTACCTGTGGTGTTAGGAGAACAGTGATATGGCTTGCTTGATCACTAGTTGTCTCAGAGATGTTGCAATTTTAAATATATTTGTATATATTTGTATGTATATCTCTTTTTTCTTATTCTGCTTCAGTCGACCAGGTCTGTTGAATGCAAGTGACCCCAGTTATCCTTGGCTTGCAGACTCCTGGCCTGCCACAAGTCTGCCAGTAAACAATAGCACTAGTGGACCCAATGATCTTGGCAATTTTGGTCGTGGAGGTAGGTTTCCTTTTATCAAGTCACCATATAGTATGCAATAGGCTCCCATTTATGATAAATGCTGTGTAATATTTTTATCATTATAGTTCTATGTGTGATTCTAGATTTGACTGAAAATTTACTTTAAATTGTTCATTTTGCTTTGTTGCTTTTTACTTCTTTTAAAAGCTAGGTCTGGTTTATAATTTACCCCACAGTGATGAGACAGGGTCTGCTTATGATCTAAAGAGAAACGTCTTTGTTGCTCAACCTCATTCCCTTTTGTGTGGAGATAAGCAATCTGCTGGGCAGGGCAATATAGCCAGGGATAAAAGATGTCCATAAGGGCAGAGGAAAACCTGGGGGACACAGGAAGGATGTTCCTTCAGCAGAACAGAAGAACATTGTTGCTGTCACCTTACCCATCCTCTTCCTACTGAGGGCCGGCTCTCAGTCTCAAGCACAATCCATGAAGAAGGGCTCAAAGGTCTTCACTCTTCACCAATTTGCCTTCTCTTTGGAGGAAAAAATATACAGAAGGGAACTATTTAGATTTTTTGAGTGGTTTGCTTTGATTTTGAATTGAGGGAGGACTTTTGAAGAGATGAGGTGATGATTTATTATTATGATGGTGAATCTTTAGAGGGGTTGTTTTCTTTCAAACATTTTACTCAAATGGGAATTTCGACGATGGGAATTTTAAAAGTCATGGTAGTATTCAGATCTCTCAGTTAGTCCCTTGGTTTCTGTGATAACAGAGCTAGTTCTGCATGGTGGTGTTCAGAACAAGACTTCCTAATGTAAATGAGCATATAAATATTGTTAAGACATGAATAGGTTAACAAAAATCAAGACAACTTTATGTATCAAAAATGCATTAAAATGTAAAAAAAAAAGAAAAAATCCATAAACCCATCAAATTGATAAATTTGAAAAGAATTCAGTTTTGAACTGTACCAGAACCTGTTTCTGAAAATCATCCCTCATGTCAGTTCTACATTCCCATGCAAAATCTCTTGCCTGTGGTTTGACTACTGTGACTTCAAATTACAACAAAACACACCAGATTTATATTCCATATAAAAATGCTGTAAAGCTCTTGTCATACAAAACTATTTAAAAGTAAGCAAAACTTTTGATAATATTTAGAAGGCAACTGAATATCTGCCAGGTTCTTTGTTGTGAATGTCTTGAAAATAAAACCCTTCAGTACTTTTCCATCTTTTCTTAAGCTCACATAATACAGAAAAATTACCATTTTCTTTTAACATTTAGCTCTACATGACAGAAATTGGAAGCATGTTTTAAAGTTTTTGGCCTCAGTGTGGATGAGGCATAGGTCCAAATTTGTGCAAGAGATAAAACAGTTGCATTTTGAAATTCAGCAGCTTAATTCCACCCGTGATCTTTACAGTTGAGCTCACAATTTTATTCTGGCTGGTTTGGGACCACTTATCTGTTTCAGTAGCTAGACTGGATGCTTCTGCATTAAAGGTGGACTAAAAAGTCAGATGTCTTTCAACATGTACAGATGGAATATTAACGTTATAGATAGAACTCTCGCTGGTAAAAAAGCTATGATAATATAAAAGGTCTGTATGCATTTTAAAAACAGTAAGGTGGCAATGAATCAATCACTGGAAAGTCAGAAGCTGAGGCAAACAGTTCTAACATTGCCCTGAAGAGTGAGATCCATGTTGTGTCCCAGACAGGCACATGAGAGCAAGGCTGTGAGTGGCAAGCACAGGTTAGAGCTGGAGTCGTGACAGGTCACAGAATGGCACTGCATCTCCTGAGGCAGCAACAAAGAGCCTCCCTCCAGAAGTACTTCAGTGCTATTTCATTTATCTGAGGAATTACACAGCAAGTTGGATTTTGGAGAGTTTTGGGGAAAGCATCCAGTGGGAAATGTGTGTTCGTCTTTGGTCTGAAATGTACAGTGTGGGATTTTCCACTGTGACAACTTGGTGGGAAAATCACACTTGACTTTTACTAGGTGATTGTGGCACTTTGTAAAATGGGAATTTAATAGCTCTTTAAGTGCTTAATGCATACATTTCATCGAAGTCAAAAAACTAATCCGTGGTGGTACTGAAAATTCCCAGAATGTCTGGAGAACCTCAGCTTTTTGGTAGGAATGACTGAAAGTTCTTGGCTGGTGGGGAGCTATGCAACTTTCCTTTCAAGTGTGTGCTATGTATACTTCTCCATTTTAAAATGACTGTAATAGAGATGATACCTCTTCAGTTGCCAGAAATGTGCTCTAAAAGACAGATGTATGTCTGAGTACTTGAGAGATGAGCATTTTGATAGTTTTTACTTCCCTGAGTCTGCAAATCCAACACAGACAGGTTGAGTTGGATTTGCTTCACTTTATACATCAACAACAGAATTTATTTACTAAACTTCAAGCCATTATAGTTTGACGAAACCAATTGTGGAAAGGAAAAATCTTCATACTGTGGATGAAATGAAAGAAAGATGGGACTGCATTTGTCTCTCACATCTCATACTGTATTTGGACGTAGATGCTTTTCTGTTTGTGTACAACCCCTAGAAAGCACATTGCCTGTGTGCAGATAGATAGTAATGAACCTGATTTTGAAATATGAGCTGTAGTTTGCATTAATTGTAATTTTTTTTTCACTTACAATTTATCTGCGGTTATAAGTTAATACAATTAAGATCTTTTAAATACTTGATTGTGTCCATTTCCCTGTTGTCTGCAAAACCAGATCATGCTGATAGACCCAAATTTAATCTCTGTTTCAGCAGTGTCTCTGCTGAGCACTCGTTATTGCCGTATTTATTGTTAGTATTATGTTGTTGCCCTGAGACTGAAGATGTTATTAGGGTCCATATAAAAATCTTCATTGTTGCACACATGAATGTAATAGAAAATAGTTTGTGATCCAAATGTTCATCCCAGGGGGAAAAAAAACAAAACAAAAAACAAAACAAACCACAACAAAATATATAAACAAACCAAGACAATGGGAGGAGACAATGCTGTCACAGCTCATTGCTGGATAAGTCTTTGAGACAGTGAGAGAACAACTGTACTCCTTGAGCTTTCACAAAACCCCCATCTGAGTCTGAAACTGAGCCTAAACCCTTGTGTAGGTGCAAGAATCATCTTTTCTTTCTGGGGTTCAAGGTGTATACAAATTGGCTGTGATCCCTAGAATGGGACCTGAACCTCCTCACTATAGGAGTGTGCATTATCTCAAGTGTGATCTAACAGTTGGAATCCATATCTGCCATCTGGCTGTAGAAAGAAAATGGAATATAAATGATGCTTTTTAAATGTTGTTTTTAACAATTACATTCCAGAATTGATTCAACTTTCCAGAGTCTAAACAAATTGTAAAAATAGTACCATTTGATATATTGACCTCTGAGTGAGAGAAGGAAGAGGATTATCTGCTCAGCTGAGGTTCTCCTTGGAACATCATGCCAGTCATCATTAGATTCTTCACACATCAGTAGCCTCAGTTTCTAGATCTAGTATTCCACCAGCAAAGGTCACTTCACTGTTTAGTAAGGAGAGAGATTGCCAATCTATCTGATTAAATATATAAACTGCACTGTGTGATGATTCGAAAAACGTAAAAAAGTCAACAGATTTTTAGTTAAATGTGTTGTACTGTTTTTCAGGTAAATGTACTGGAGTATTTGAACAAGTTGTTCTCCATTATCAACACTGCTTTGCCATTTGAGGGACTGATCACTTAAATCCCTTCAGAATAACAGATTTTCTTTCACATATCAGGAACAACTTGGTCTTGTCATGTTTTTCTTTGTGGAAAAGGAGAAAAGTACTAGCTAATGTCAAAAAGAGAATTAGATAAGCTGATGCACAAAACTTCAAGGAAATCAAGGTGATGCCCTTAAAAAATTACTTTCAGAGCTTTGGCATCCATACAAGAGTTTTTCTACACATTTTCTCTGAAAGTTCCCTCCGTGATTTGTAAATTCTCTCCTTTCATCATTTCCCTGAAACCCAGACAGTTTCATTGGTTCTGACACAGAGTGAACAATTGAAAACATTCTTTAGGAGAGAAATATTCCAAACTTCACTTTCAAGCTGAAGGTATGGAGGGGGAAAAAAAAAAAAAAAGATGGTTTTAGGCAGTGAGACGTGAAGGACAAGTGGTAGGCCTGTCACAGATGCTGATAGCTTGGCGATGGTTGTACATCATCTTCCCTTCGTTGGCTCGTGGACCTGTCTCAGCTGAAATGCAAACGTGCAAAATGACACATTTATTTCTCATCTTAAACCTTGATACTTTCAGGCTTCCTGTGCATCAATGATTTGTTTCATTCCCCTGTGTTCACCACAGATGTGCTGCCACCAGTGCCAGGGCAAGGAGATAAAACTGCTACTATGCTTTCTGATGGAGCCATTTACAGCAGCATCGACTTCACCACGAAAACTAGTTACAACAGTTCCAGCCAAATAACGCAAGCCACGCCATATGCCACCACCCAGATACTGCATTCCAACAGCATCCATGAGTTGGCTGTTGATTTACCTGATCCTCAGTGGAAAAGCTCAATTCAGCAAAAAAATGACCTGATGGGATTTGGTTACTCTCTCCCAGACCAAGGCAAAGGCAACAATGGTAATTACAGCTCTTATTTTCCACAGACCTTGGCTTTGTACTGTATCATCTGTGCATTAGAATTAGAAAATTCTTTTTAGTTATGTGAGACACTGTTCATATTTACCTTAACTAATGCTAACATGCCTTGCATGCGTGCTGAATGTCATACAATCACAAAATACATCGTCCTGTGCTTTTATTCCTCTTTGTCCTGTGCTAATCACCAAGCCATCTGCCTTCCACTAGGCTAGGGTAGGTGTACCTTTGAAAATAAGTCAGTTAAAACTGCCACCCCACCACATCTGCTGTTGACTTGCTAACTGCATGTGTCGCATGTGCTTGTGCTGTCGACTAATCCCACGATGCCACTGTGACCTTTGCCGTTTAACCCTTAGCCTTGCTTTACATCCCTGACTACCGGGTGGCTGAGGGACTGGCTAATAGATTGCCACACAACCAGTCACAGGATTTCAGCACCACCAGCTCCCACAACAGCTCCGAAAGGAGTGGCAGCCTCTCAGGTTGGTTCCACCACCGTGGGCAGGGGAGTGAGGGACGGAGGGGTGTCGGTGAGCGGCTCACCGTGGAGGTGGAAGACCTCCCAGGCACAGGTTGAGAACTACCATGAGAGTGCCTGCCTGCTAGGAAACACTGGAAAATGTGAAGTTTCATTGGAACATCAGAGAACACTGTCACATGGGCCTCTACTTTAAAAAAAAAAAAAAAAAAAAGTTTTTGGCAAAACCTATTTGGAGGTAACTGGAGATTCCTCCCAGGTGGTGCTTGTCGGTGCAATTGCCAGCCTTGCCTTGTCACATCCTTTCCCTGACAGCACAGTTCGTGGAGCAAATGTATTTCTGCATCCATCCTCAGTTTATGGGTCACCCCACACGGAACATCATGAGGAGAGTAATATTTTTGTTGAGTGGTTAACAGATCCCCCACTCCCACAAGCTGTTTCTAGCGAAGCAGATCAGAAATAGTTGTAGGGCCCTGAACGATGACTGGGGTTTCAACAAATTGTACCAAGCCTGCATACAAACAGGATGTAAATTTTATGTGTGTGCTGCATGTTCTATTGGAAACATGATGCATTTTCATCAGATGAAAATGATTGTAGTACATGTGGTTGTGTATTATATTTAAACACACCTTTTTCTTGATTTCTTTAATTTTGCTTACTTGTTGCTTATGTTATGTATAACTGTCTTCTTTTTTTTTTATTTAAAAACAAAAACTGAAAAGGCAGCAATTAAAAAGAAAACCTCTGAATTCACTTAACTGAAATATGAGAGAGCTGAAGGGACTTAACCTTGATATTCATTCTATATCCGTAGCCTTTTGAATTTCCACTACAGGCTGGAGCAATTGTAACACTAACAAACCAAACCTAGAAATTACTTCTTTACGTCAATTTAAATAACTATTCAAATTGAATCTTGAGATTAGAAGCCTATAATCACTGGCCCATAACTTAAACAGCCAAATGTGTTTGCAAGTCTCGTGTTTCTCAAGGGGGAGTATGAGCTGATTTGAGTGAGACTGAAAAATAGGCTTATGGCATTGATGGAGAGGTGTCTGGGAGCGAGGTTCAGACAATGCTGCAAGAAAGGCTCTTGTTCCTTGTATGTGAGATGGATTGGCAAGTAGCTTAGGAAATCAGCTTGCTCCCCAGGCTGCATGCAAATGCAGAAATTGATGTGCTGAGGTACATGCGTGGCAGTTATCAGAGGGCAGTATCACACTTTAGATATGTTGACAGCTATGGATGCCTAAGAATTGTCTCAGAAAATGTGAAGTTTCATTGGAAAATGCCACTTAATCAAAAGCTGGATTTTGATCAAATATTTCAAGTGAAACATATTTTGCTTAATGTTTATCAGTTCAAAATAAGTCTTCTGAGGACACGAGGAAACTTCAGCTCAGTCTTTCTATGGCCAGAGCATTCCTGTTGTGACCAATGCAGCTCACACCTGGATGCCCCAATGCTCAGAGGAGTGTCAGATTATCGGACTGCAGAGTCAGCATTTTGCACTCCCTTGCTCAGTAATTATGCCTTTGATACAGGATAATTGTGTCTGTAATACACAAGAAACTGGGGGAGACCTTCAAATAGTCTGATAATTAGAGCATCGCCGGAGTCAGAGACCAGCTTTGGTTAAGTAGTCCCCATCAGGGTGAGCAGGGACTTGTTCTCTCACTTCCTTGGTTAGTACTTTAAGTACTACTTATTATTCTGACTAAGTTTCTGTCTCTCTTAAATGAATATCATGAGAAATCCTATCCCACTGTGGAATGGAAAATAGCTGAAAAACTCAACTGCTCTATGAGGCAGGGAAATTTTGTAGCTGTGCTTCGCACAGCTCCCAGATTATATCAGTGCTATGATCATCAGCCCAACTGGCAAATTCTTTTTCCAGGACCTGATTCATCTAGAGATTTAAACAATATAATTGAATTTCAGTGTGAGGAGACATTGAAACATCAAGCATCATTGCTATGGGGAAACAAGGCTTTGGTGCATCAGTTTTCAAACACACATCAGGCATTATGTATTAGGTGTCTGTTCCACTAGTCTGACAGTGGAGTAACTCTGCCTGTGGGGACAGAAGAGAAATCTCCTGCCCAGCTATACAGTGTAGGCTGCTTTCCCTACCAATAATGACCTTGGAGTTCCCGTCTTTCTTTTCTTAATCTAAATTGTTCCTTATATCTCTGCTTTACTCTCTCTAATAACTCCATTATCTTTAACCTTTTGCTCTGAACCCCCCCAAATCTGAGTGACTCCGTATTAGCACCCCACATATCCAACCTCTGTTGTACTAGTCTCCTAACGTTATCAAGATGCTACACTTCCAAAATCTTCCTCATCACCTCAACTAATCTCTGAAGTTGTTCTCTGCATTTTCCTTCTCTGAGTATTCCTTGTTCAAATCCTTCTGCAACACACACACTCTTATGCATGTGCCTTTCTCCTAAAGCAACCCCTCCTGCCTTAGCTCTACTTCTGCTGACTTTTCAAAATTTTCCCCACATCCCACAAATTTTAGTTAACCTACTTCCTTTACACTGTTCTGTGACCCTGTTTCTATATCCACTTTTTGCCTTACCTGTGCTTTGAAAGCTTCATTTTTCCCTCCAGAAGGTCCACGTGTTTGTTCCTTTATCTCCACCATCACTGGGGTTTCTTTTCAGCGGTCGAAATGTTCCTTCCCTTTTCAAGAAAGCTTCTCTCTCTACCAGGCTACAAAAGGAGGGAAGAACCAGTCTTGCTTCCTAACAGAGGGAATATCGACTCAGTTTGCACATGGTGAATGACAGGGTCTTGGCTGGAATTTACTATATGTCCCTCCAAGAAAAAGATGGAAGAGCTCTGACCTGGAATTGAGCACTAGAAAGGAAAGTCTTGTTTGCAACGTGCAGTCAGGCCAATTAGAAACCTTGCTGGACTTGTTGCCTGTCTCTAGCAGGCACAACCGGAGGTAAAAGGAGATGGCTATTTCAGAGTCACAGAATCACCTTTTTCTTCCCTCTCTATTTTCTGTTTTCATCCAGCTGACATTTGGAGGTAACAGAAGAAAGTGGCTGTCTCACAAAAAATCCCATGACATGTGGTTGTCTCTGTTGCTAGAATTGCACCTCCTCTTGTTTTCCTCTGTGCCTAGATCTAGAGCCATGGCAAAGAGGGTGGTGCCTGCCAGTGCACACCTGACGAGTCAGTTGCAGCTTTTTTGATTCATTGATTCATTTTTACTTTTTTTTTTTTTTTTAAGTGATCCTTATAAATCAACAGGATACGTCAGTGGGTAGGATGGATTAGACTGTGCTCTCTCAAACAGGAAAGGAATGAGTGATGGCCAGCTGGGTACCCCAGTGAAAAGGCATGTGACAAACTCTTCCTCCCCCCAACAGTCCAAAGAGTCTGAAAGCCACAACAAAACAGCAAAAAATGGATGGTTCTTCAAGCAGTCGAGGGATTCAAAGTGTTGTGCCATTCTTCCTCTGAATGAATTCCTAACACGAAAAAGAAGTCTCTGTAAAATAAAAGAAGCAAAGCAAGTGGGATGAGAGCTTTCTCTATGGGATCAGTTTCCCACAAATGGAAGTGTCTCAACTGGAGAAGTGGATACAAGGACAATAAGAGAAGAGCAGAGGGCTTACACAGAATGAATTGCTCTCTTCATTTTTGCCAGCCTCATCCACTGGAGTTATACATCAGAAACAAAACCTCTTCTTCATAGTGGTGCGAGATACTTGAATCCTGTGAAATGGCACGTGACTTCCTGATCTTTTAAAAAAACACAACGTTTCTTTTGTTTTGACAAGTTACTCTTGCCATTCTGCCTGAAAGATATTGAGTCTAACGACAATTTTTTTAGATGGTGTCCTTAACCTCTGTGTTTTCCATGGGAAGTGATTATGCAAAACTGTGTTATAGTCACACTGGATTCTGACATTTGAAATAATTTGCTATGTTTTATTATATTTTTATCTAGGAGTGAATTCAAGAAGTCGTAAAGAAGATATGAATAATATCAGGAAATATATTTCTGATACAGAAAGACATGTCTTTCCTTGTTTGTGCTCTACTGTGGTGCAAATGTACATAGTTTTAAAAAGAAGTGATTTTCAGCAAATATTCAGAATATTTTTCCATTCCATTCTATTATTACTTATAACCTTGTGACAGCATTAGCACGTTGATGCTGATTCTGCTGAGATATAAATACGTCTTCTTTTTTGGGGCATGCCATCTGGAATCAGAATTCTTTCAAAGAAATGTAAATAGCTAGCTTTTTTTCCCCACATTACATCTCTAACATTTTATTTTTCTTTTTGGATTTGCAGGTGGCAAAGGAGGGAAGAAGAAGAAAACCAAAAATACTGCCAAACCCCAGAAAAGTAATGGTTCAAACTGGGCCAGTGTTCCCCTCCCACCCCCTCCTGTGCAGCCACTTCCAGGCACAGAGCTGGAACACTATGGGGTGGATCAGCAAGAAGCAGGGTAATTTTTTTTTTTTTTTGGAAGAAAAATCTGTGTTTTGCAGAGATGGAGCCTTTTTGTTATTATTTTTTTAAATTTTGCTAAGTGACAATATTATTCTCTTTCATTTAAAAAAAAAAAAAAAAGAAAAGTAAAATAGCACCTTATCCTATAGATTTATTTGAGGCTATGGAGGAGAAATGTTTGAATAGCTTCTCTGGAGGGTGACTGAAGGTGGAAACAAAAGTGACCTTGCTTTGCCATCACGTAGGGCTTCACTGCTTTCTCATGCTGAGAAGTATCTCACTTCACAGGTAGCTTAATTGAATTCTGTTGGGACTGCATGCAGCTGATGGGACTCGGAGTGAGTAAGGATGACATAATCTGGCTCCTTGTATTTCTTCACTGCTTTGATGTTTAAAAATATTAGAGCCAACAGAACAAAAAAAAAAAAAAAAAAAACACCACCAAATTGGATTATTTTTTGAAGATCAACCAACGGATAATAATGTTCTCATCGGCTTTTAGAAGAAATTTCACAGTTGAGGAAGGCATGCTAATTATGGACTTTTTGTTGCCATTTAAACAACTCTTAAGTTTCTAGAACCTTCCACTTATTTTTGTATAGCTTAAACTTATTCTCAAGGACACATAATCACACAAGAAGCGCTAAGGGAGGGGGAAGAGACATTTTCTGCTCAGACAACAATTACAGAATTCTTTTTATAACGTATAATTGCATGACATACCAGGTTATCAAACTCTGGAGGAAAATCAGAGTATACAGAAAAGTAGTTTACTGTGGTCAGTTCTGTTGGAGCCTTTGAAAGTAATTGTTCTGTCAGGGACAAATTTCTGCCTGTTTAAATATATGGATTAACCAGTATTTCCTAAGGATGAAACATGTTTTAAAAAAATAATGTAATAGTTTTACTGAACAAAAATATTTCAAGTGTTATTTCTTTTGTAAGCATGAAGCATTGATCGTTACTAGTTTTATAATGAAAATATTATTTGAGTTTATACCAAGTTCTTCAACTCTTAAAATGAGTAACAACTAACTGTGTTAGTCCGTGGAATTCTTTTTAAAATTAAGACCCATTCAGACTCTATTAGAGTTAGAATTGCAAATCAAATATAAGGGAAAATTAATATCCTTACTGATTGTAAGTGTTGTTTAAATCTCAAGGCAAGAAGTGCATATACTCATGGTGTTCTGTATTCTGTTATAAAAGACTAAAATAAATTTAAAATGGTTTTACCAGATAATACTTGTCTTTATCAGTTTACATCCTTAGAATACATTTGCAGCCATTTCACTGAAACAATTATGCTATAGAAGGCAAAAAACTTGGATTGTCTTTCAGAACAGTGAAATAGCATAAAAGGTAAATGGAAATACCTTATAAAAAATTCCTTTGTGACACAGGGCTTGACTCCTCAGTTGCATAGAGTATCTGTAATTTAGCTGGAAGGAATGATGTTGGTCACCAAGACAACATTGGTTATTTAAGGATAAGGTAATCACCAGCCTTCCACATTCACAACAATTCAGACTTAGTTTTTCTTCTGATTATCTTCTGAATTACTCTCCTCTGGTTTTTGCAGTGCCTCATTAACAGTGGTTGTACCTTGACCTTGTAATATGCATTTTACCAACCACACAAAAAATTTCAAGATTAGACTTTCAGTATCAGTCTGGAGCTGTAATTTGCAACCACCTTTGTTGAAGAATGGATCTGCAATGTCCATACTTTCTCAGGATGTATCCAATACTAATGGTCATTCTGTATTCTGGGGTTGATCTTGTTTCCATGGTTTTCAACATGCTAAAATGGAATGAATCGTGGACCGTGGTCCTTTATGTTGCCTTTAATGTGGACACAGTGGGTAAAAAACCCCCCAACAACAACACATTTTTTAAACTGTTTTGTTTGTCTTGATTTGTTTTGATGTACTCTATCTGTGACAAGTTCAATGTGTTTTAATGTTAGAGTTAATTACATGCAGAGTGGATGCTTTTACTTGGTTTTATCTAAACTTGACAGTAAGGAAATGCTCATTATTTAGTCATTATCATCTATTTTGATTTTTCACTAATACTATGCATGTTCTTGAGCCAACCCCAGTAAAAGCAGCCTGAATATTTTTATTTGACTATTACTATTTCTTGCTATTGATTGCACCTTAAAAGGGAATATTAGCTGCTGGATGTCAATATATTTGATACTTATTTTCTGTCATTAGAAAATGTTAAGAAAATAGTACCTTTCATATCAAAAAGTCTTTTCTGGTGAGGTCTAGGGATGGAAGCATCCTTTATTACAACAGTGTGTGTAATGAAACACAGTTGTTGTAGAAATGCCCATTATCCATCACCTTTATTTTTTATCTTGAAGGAAAAAAAAAATCTCTCAGTGTAATTAATCAAGTTTTTTAATAGCAAAAGATTACTATAGGATGAAAGTGCTGAGAATAGAATAAAAATTATTAGAAACAGAGAGAGTCATGTTTGTTAACCAGCACTTAATAGAGACTCAATTAATGAAATTACAGTCAGAGATCTCTAACCTAGTTAAGGTGCTTAGATTTTAATAAGTGCACTTGAAAAAAGTTGCATTTTCAGCACGTTGGATTTACTTAGAAAACCAAAAAGAACATGGGCATGACCAATACAAATCATTTATGTGAGGTATAGTTACTATGTAGTCTCTTAAGTTTGCTAGCTTTTTCTTGCAGGCTTTTTTTTTTTTTCCTACTCTAAATGCAGGTTGGAACCTGTGGCTTTTTGGACATCTTACAGTATGAAGGCAAGGGTTCTTGTACCTGAAATCTTGAATCTCAGTGTCCTGAGCTTCAGGCTTAGGCTGCTTTCCATTTCAAACAAAATTTGGATAAAGATACGATACTTGTGCAGAATCTTTTCACTAAGAAGTCTTTTTAGTGAGAAATCTTTTTACTATCAAGCTGAACATTTGGGGATTTGAAGCAAGTCGGGTCAAAAGGCGAGCACTTCCAAAGCTCATTTATTCATCATTGGGAAGTCACTAGGGAGTATCTTTTTGCCCTGTCCCTTTTAAAGAAGACATTATACCAACGCATGAGGTTGAGAGAGCAAAAGTGAGTGAGAGAGCTGTTGCACTGTACATTTTTAGCAGCGTGAGTTAGGATGGTCCCTTCAGCCTGGGGTGCAAATGTCATGAGTGAGTATTGTTAGGAAAGAGAAATTACAGCTGGCCATATCTTAATTGTCTGCTAAGGATGAATATGTATCATGTAACATTTTCTTAAGTCTCTGTATTATGAAAATGGTAATGATCAATCACTGAAAAGCTCCTAAATGCCAAGGGTTAAGATCCAGCCTTTGTTTTCACCTCTGTACACGTACGTGTCTTTGTGTATCTATATATTGTTATATTGACATACAAATTTAAAGTAATATCAGTGTTAATTACCAAATGTGTCTTCCACAGACTTTTGGATGGTTAGGTCAGGTTGCTTTAGCTATCCAGAATATGTGCTTTTAAATAGAATCTGAATAAGGAATAGATAGTCTAGTTAATTTTAGAAATCTGTGGGTTTTGCTTAAAGTAAATGTTTGTTCATAATTCAGGTTTTGAAACTTCTTCATCTCAGTGTTCTCAGCATTTTTATAACCTGGCTTCACACTTGAGAAAATTGGCAGTAATTCATTTTTCTCGGAGAGATTGGTAATTCCTTCCTTCTGAATCAGAAGCCTTAAAGGAGTATTCTTAAACTGGTTTGAGAAATTAACTGTGTAACACAATGCATTGCCTGCCTGCATTGCAGAAAAAAAGGACCTTGTCAGCAGTCCTTGAAGGCGGAAAGAAGATAAAGTGACTTAGTAGATGATGCTTGGGAAATGGCCTTTAGAGTGTGAGATGGTTTGACAGTGAAGGAGCTGTGAGAGCTTTTGGTTGTCTGGTTGCCTTTAAAAAAAAAAAAAAAAAAAAAAAAAGTATCTATTCTGAGTTATTTTGGAATACACTGGGAGTTAAGAAGAAATGTGTGCTGCTGCTCAAGGGACTGCTGACTGACTGGGTGTTTTGAAGATGGGAGAAGTAGACAGTTGAGACTGGCGTGGTGTGATCATCAGCAGAGCTGTGCACAACTGAAGTTGAGTTCAGGTTAGGGAATTACTCTGGGGGGATAATGCACAGGGAATGACCACAGCCACTAAGGTCTATACTCCTTGAGTGATGCTGGTGTCTCTAAGTGACAGGATCCCAAGATGATACTGAAATACAGCACTGAATTGAAAGGTCCTGCGATGAGTACAGAGACTGAAAGGGATTGACTTACTGGTGAAGCTTACATAAAAAGTGATAATAAAATATAAAGCTTCTGTTTCTAGGCCTGATCAGATATAGCATCACCCCTTACAGCTTTGGTATAAGGCAAAAATTGAACCACAAACACCTATGAGAACACCCCTTATATATGAAAAGAGAAGAATTTGGTGTTCAATAATACTGGTAGTTGTTTTATCTTTTAACTTACCTTGGGCAGATGTGATGAAAGTGTTCAGAAATGCAGCAGTGTCTAGGTGAGTCCCAGTACAGATTGGTTAGGAGGTGGGGTGCTGGCAGATGTACCTTATCAGCTGGTGCTGTGACATAGCATATGCTTAGGGTCAGCACTGCTGTGACATGAATATATTACACATCATAGGAGATACATATTTGCAGTGTGGGAAGACCAGCATTTATGAGGAAAGTGTAGCTTCAAAATAGAAACAAAGAGTAAATTTATAGACAAAGGGGAGGATGGAATAAGTGCATAAGTGCAACTATGTAAGGCTTGCTTTGCCTTTTAAGAATGCTGCTGTTTTCACGTCTAGGTCAATCTTCATGCACTCTCCTAGATTAATGATCCTGGAAGCGAGTTAGTTCATTGTTGTTGTTGATTGTGGTGTAACATTATCTAATCACCATTAACAAATGCAATAACGGGTCAGTAATTTTTTTGTTGCGCTTCTTGTTCGAGCTGCTTAGCTGATGTGGGAAAAATTAAACTGACTCGGTAAGGACAATTTAAGCAATTATGACCCTGTTTTCATTAAATGTTAAAAACTTCCACTGGGTGTGAGGGTTACAGCTATAGCAGAAATCCTGTATGCCCTTTACACCCTCGACTGTGTGGCAGAGATGAGTTTTGATATACACTAAGTTCATTTGGTTTTCATTTTAGATACGACAGTGATGGTTGGTGTCCGCCTTTGCCAGTTCAGACCTACCTACATCAGGGCATGGAGGATGAGCTTGAAGAAGATGATGATCGTGTTCCCACACCTCCTGTCCGAGGAGTAGCTTCATCACCTGCCATCTCCTTTGGGCAACAGTCGACTGCAACCCTCACGCCTTCCCCACGAGAGGAGATGCAGCCAATGCTTCAGGCTCACCTTGATGAATTAACAAGGGCTTACCAGTTTGATATAGCAAAGCAGACATGGTAAATGTTTGGGGGGGGGGGCACTCGTGATCTGGGAAATGCAAGCATAATGATAATATTAATTTATTCCTCTATGACATAAATATTGACTGCGTTTAACAACATTTCAATAATATTTCCAAAGAAGTAAAATGGAAGAAGAAATAGTAAAACTGTGCCTAGAGTGTGAAGGCCTTAAACATTAGTGGGTGCTTTTTAAATCGTAATGCTTGGTAATAAGTTAAATCTTGTCTAAAAACATGTAAAAACAGTATTCCTCTGAAATTTTACATATGCTCAACGAAGTAGTTAGCACCCACCTACTGACAGCTTTTATACAGTCAAGAGTACTCTCTTTTCAGGCTAGCAAAAGATATGAATTTTTTAGGATTTTCAAAAATAATGAGATTCTAAACTCCTGAAAATCATTAAAAATAATGATAGTTACTTGAAATAGCGCTAGAGCAGCTTTTACATGCTGTCACACGAGAATGGAGCATTTGCATCTCTGACTGTAGTTTGAAATACCATGAGAATTTCTGATTCATAGGAAAAACCCAGAAATAGCTGGAAGAAAGTTGTTAGTATTTACAAAATGGATCTAGTGTTTTAGAGTGCTTTATGCCTATTTAAAGGAAGAGCAGGCAAATACCACAGTAACATTTCCCCTGCAAAACAAACAGAAGCAATCTCTTCAGGGACTGAGAAAAGAACTTGTCAAGTGCACCAGGCTGGGGATACGGTGAAGGTCAGTTGCTTCCTGGATGTTCCCTAAGCAGCAGTTGTCCTTTTACAACTTTTCTATCCAGACAAAGCCCGTGAATCTCAGAGGAGAGGAGCAGAGCTAGTTACGGAATGGCACAGTGCCAGCAGAGGAGCAGCCTTTCTTCGCTGGTAAATAAAGCCACAAAGTTATTCAGCTTGAGCTCCTGTAAATAGAGCAGGCAGGTAGGCAGGCGGTGCCAAATCAAAGCCAGCTGTTTTCCCTGGACACCGCGGAGGCCTCGAGGCTTGTCTGCAATCTGCACTCAATCAACAGGGTACTTTGGTCCCGCTGCAGCGTCTCGCTGCCAAGCACGGACCCCGGCCTGCCTGTGGGACAGCCCCAAATCCCAGGCAGCAGCTAGACCTGGCCTTTGGAAGGTGGCTGACTTCTGAGCCAGCACACAGATGCACACCCTGTCAGCACAGTCACTCGCTGCTGCATTTTGCAGCTGTTACCCTTTCTATGCCCTACAAACCTGGGGTTCCAGTCCAGGTGCCGATAATGGAGTAGGACACTCTAGCAAAGCCTCTTGCAGCTGACAAGAAAGGTCTTGCTCCCTCTTTGGAGAAGTGAAAATTGATTGGGAACTTTCATAATGTGCTCAGGAATATACAGATTTTAATGTTGCTCTTGGGTAAGGTCACAGTAATTGAGCCTGAAACTCTAGGGGGAAAAAAAAGATCAAGGAGATAACATTTTTTCATAGTGAGACCTTATAGGTGTTACAGCAAATATTGAGGGTTGGAAATACAAGTTATTTTTGTGCAATGAAATTGTTTAATGCTTTTATATTGTTTGGCAGAACATGTATCATGCTGCTCAAAGTCAGTAGAAAGTCCTCCATTGTTTTAACTGGGAAGGGAGATTTCTTAGTTTTCTTTTTACAAAGTTAACCTGTCCAGTGTAGAGACAGGGGAAGGCAAAGCAGAAAGATGAGACCTGTCAGATAGGTTACTGTGGGAGTAACAACAGAGAAATATAGAGAACAGACAACTAGGAATTTAAGAAAGAGCGCATTAGAGATTACTGGAAAAGTACATAATCATTATGGCCTTGATCCAGCAAATCACTTAAGTATATGCTTAACTACAAGTACATGAGAAATTGACTTCAATTGTTCTATCACAAGCTTAACATTAAGCATATACTTAAGCATTTTGCTTGATTGGGAGCTAATCACACTGTTTATTGAGGGTTAGTTAGATGGTAATGCCCTTTAGCACAGTGTTTTGAACACTGCATAGCTAAGAACCTGGTGTCCAGGAAGAAAAGTATTCAAGAACTGCTAATCAGAAGGGGGCTGTATATCAAAAAGGAAGCATTTGCTCTGCAAATAAGGTTCAGAATAAGCTGTAAGTTAAAACCTACGGAGAGGTGGAGATTGATTCCAGTGGTACATAAGATTTACTGTGACATTCTCATATCTGATAGATTTACATTATAGGGTGGGGGGGAGGGAGAGAAAGAATAAAGAAAATTACTGTACTCATTGAGTGTAGGCAATACTACAGCATAAAGTTTTCATTGAAAATATAGTAGAGCTCAGAACCAAACATGTGACAGCTGTAATTTTTTTCTGTTATACTGATGTCCAAGCAAGAGAGCAGCAGCAACCTGGGTCCCATCCAGAGACCTGCCTATTCAAATCAGGCCATGGCACCTCACATACAGTCACCCAAGGATTCCTACGTGCCTAAGTTAGCAATTTTAAATGTGGTTCATGCTCTTAGGCCAAGGCCAGTCATGCCTGGGCCCCCTGGCACAGCTTGTGGTGTACCTGTTGTGCTGTGGGGAATGCTGCTTTGAAAGCTGATGGTGTTGTTCTCCTCTGTATCCTCTCAGAGACCAGGCAAATGAGACTGCAAATCCCATGCTTGCCTTGGGCCATTTAGCTATCCTGTGGGTGGGTTTTTTTATCTTTGTTTTCTTTTTTTTTTTATTTGTGACTGCTGCATACAGTAATTTCACACATGCATGCCCTAATACTGCTGCAATTAAATCAATTAAACTACTTGGAATAAAGCAAAATGAAAAGGCCTCACTGATAATGTGTTCACTGGACTTGAAAATTTCTCCTGTCCTGCTGGCCATTTCCTCCTCTTTAGGGTGACTTCTGCTTCAGGGCACTGTGTCTGTTTAAGCAGAAGGAGTGAAATTTAAGTTTGGTTCAGTGTGTGATTTGCAAGGTGGAATATCGTGTGAGACGCTTGTATGCTAGGCTGGGATTCAGAATTGTGCTTTTCCACGGGTTTCCTACCTGATTTATGTAGCCTCTGTGTACATCGCTCTTCATCTGTAAAAGGACAGTCCTGACCTTCCCCATCCTAGAGGAGAAGTATATTTAAGACTGGAAAGTGTGCAGGTACTCTGGTATTAGAAGCTGTGGTGAATAACTGAACTGTCTTTTCTTGAGTTTAACCTAACAAGCTCATTTTGTAAATCTACTTCAGGACCCGTTGAAAGGCTTGTATCTTGTTGACCGTGGGGTACAAAGGCTCATCCGTTCTGATAACTTTTCCTGTTCTGTTTGTTTGTGTAGGCACATCCAAAGCAATACACAACCTCCTCAGGCTCCCGTTCCGCCCCTAGGATATGTATCTGGAAACCTTATTTCAGATTTGGAAACAGATGTTCCAGATGAGGATGACGATGAGGATGATATTGAAGAAGAAACTGTAGAAATCAGTAGGCCACTAAGAGGTCTAGAGCATACTCCAGGCTCCAGTATGGACAATCTAGACAGCTCTGTGACAGGTAACCAAACACAGTTAACAGTGACACCAACTTGTTCCTAAACAGCAAAATACATCATCAGTCAAATACTTTCTAAGTGAAAATTTATTCCACTCTATTTCTGCAACGTTTAAAATGTGTTAGCACTAAACACTAAAGTTAAAGAAGGATTTGGGGATAGTTTGCTTTGCTGCAAAATGATAAGAAAATTCATGAATTTTAAAAAGCTTTAAAGACTCGAAAGAAAACTCAATTATATCCTAGCTTTCATGAAAAGTTGATTCTACTGGAGAAGCAAGGCAGTTACATAAAAAGGAGGAGGCAGACCTCAGCTTAGGAATATATATTTCATAAATCAGAAGCAGCATAAAAATGTTATCTTAAAGCACTTTTAGATATTTTGCTGGGAAAATACTTTCCCAGATGAACACAAGGAAGTTAAAGACTTCAGAGTAAGTGTAGTTAGATCACCACAACATTTATTTCTAGAGTAAATATTACATTTATGTAGGAAAATGTGTATTTTAAACCCACTTTGTATTGCTGAATTTAGTAATTGTTCCCTTTCAGTAAAGCTGTTTAATTATTCTGACCCTCCTTGCCTTACTGCTTCTTGCCCTTTGCATGCCTTGGAAAGCTCCAGCATCATCAAAGGGGATCTAGAAAGCTGTGCTAAACTAATGCACAGGATCTGAATGAATAAAATGGCTGTTGGAGAAATGCAGTGAAAGACATTTGGTTTTCAAATACATAAAGTCCTTTTTTTAAGCATCAGTGTATTTCCCTTTATGTTGAACTTGGGCCTCTCTATAATATAGTGTGTCCATAAGGTGCGGGTGTACTAAAGACCCAAATGTCCCAAATGTCCCGGTGTCCATAGCTCATGGGTGCTGCTTCAGTCTTTGACCTCAGCAGACAAATACTGATTGTTAATTGCACCTTAAGGGAGACTTGTTCAGTGCAACTTACTACCATAGTGCCACTGAATTCCATCTCATTGTTCTGGACCTCTGAAATTCCAAGGATTTTGCACCCTCATGTAATAGTTGCTGTTCTGAAAACACTGGGCAAACATGCAAGTGATGGAGCATCAATACCTATAAATTTTCTTCCTTTTCCCTTGTTGAATGAAAGAGTGTGTAGCTTAATCCCACTTTCCCAGTTTTCCTTCACCCTTGGGCCAGACTGCTTACAAATCTAATTAAGATTTAAGAATTGTATCTCTGCTGCTGTGATTTGAAATCCAGATTCAACTGAAGGCCATAGAGTTAAAGTTTAAATCCCTGAATTGAGAAGGTTAACTTATTAGTGCATGAGTGTGTTAAGTCACTTTGCTTGAATTTCCAGCATAATCTCCTTTGGGCTATAATTCTGCATATTTTTGCATATTTCACTAATGGCTCAGAAGTCTTTCCATTAGGAATACAGTAAGAGTTTTGCTGTGGTAATACAGCAATAAATAAATTTTTAAAAAATTAGGTTTGTATGTATTTTTCATTTGGTATATATTAATATGCCAATGTTTATGTATCTGTAAATCAGAAAATGATTTCACATTTGCATCTCCACCTGATATTTTGGACCACCCTACCTAGAGCAAATAAGGAATAGCTGTATTCCTGCTCCAACTTGTAGACTTTTGTACTTATTATAATTTAACCTTTTATGAATAACATTCAAGTTTCTTATGATATTTATAAATCTTGTTGTATTATTGGAGTGTTAAAAGTGTAATTATTGGAGTGTTAAAAACTTCCTGCTGTGTTATTTTAGAAGAAATTGGGCAGAACCTGATTATGTAGACTGGGAGTGAACTTAATGCACTCCCACTCATCACCACCACTGTCTTGATGGGGCCTCATCCAGGTGAAAATGAAGGGTTTCCTTTTGCTTTTTCCTTTACCTGTTTAATTACTAGCTGGATCTGTTCCTTGATCTGGTTCACCGCATGGCAAGGTGTGTGCTGGCTCTGCAGGAAGGGAATGTGCAGCTGGGAGGGAAGCAGAATGATAGACTGCCCCTATAGCATAGAGCCAGTGCTTAGATTGACTTCAAACAATTAGGGAACTGTAGCCTTACAAAAATACACCCAGAGTGTTAGTCTAAATGATCTGTAAAATGGCAAAATATACAAATAACAAAACTGCTTCTCTTTTCCTCATTTACTACATGGGTAAAACCTTGATTTTTAGGAAGGTTTGCTTTGGGCTTGTTGTTTGTTGGTTTTTTTTTTTTAGGAGTAGAAGGAAACTGCTTATTATACTTAGGATTTTTTTTTTTCCAAAAGAGAATCTTAATTTTTGTTTATCTGTTTCTGTTAACTCTTCCAGGCTGCGTTTACTGGTGTTAATGAGGGTATAGCAAATTGCTTTCATTGTTTCCAAGCTGTTTCTCATTCTTCAATTTGATTGCTTTTAAAATACTGTAGAACAACTAAATTGTTTTATTACACTGAGAATATATGAAGCTACTTCTTTTCACAGAGCCTTTGGTGACTTAAACCAGCATTTTCCTAGGAATTTATAGACCATGTTTTCAGTTCTCTAAACATTATATTGAAAATGGAGGCAAATGAGGATATCTGACCCAGATGAAGCAATATTTCTGTTCATTCTGTTCATTGAAGGGCCTTGTGAGTTCGGTGTTTGTGAGAAATCTGTACTGACATCCCTTGATCCAGACTTCCCTCAAATAGAGTTGCTGTACAGGGAGCAGGGCAAGTTTCCTCACCCTGTACTGTTAGCATGCTCTTGGATTGAAGTGGTGCTTTGTTCTCCCTGGCTGAGCTGAGACCCAGCATTTCCTGAGTGCCAAAATGTGGGATTCTCTGAGGGGAAACCCTGGCACTGCGTGAGCCAAAGCACAAACTACTAAATTCCTCTGCCACCACAGTGTTGCTCCTTTAAACTGTTTAAAAGTCAAGTTGTCTTCCAGGCCCTTGAGTTTTAGTTACAGCTAGCTGAAGATTCAGACAAGGATTTAATCTGCACTATTAAGCTTTTCTCTTTGCAGGTGGCAGAGACATAATGTTGACGTGTATAACAAAGTGCAAAGAGAGGAGGAGTGCACAGTGACTGTATCTTAACATCCTCCAGATATGGCAAAGAGAACTCGGGGAGGGAGGTTTGGGTTTGAATGTTTGTGGGATGGAATATGAAATTAAAGCCAAATTTTTTCTCCGTTCCCAGTTTGTTAGGATACTTAGTGACTGATTCTGCTTTTTTTTAAAAAAAAAAAAAAAAAAGGAAAGAAAGTACTGGAAAACAGTGGTAAACCTTATGCTCACTCAACTTTTAATTCACAGTTATTTAGGGTTGTTTTTTACTTTCAGAGACACATTGAAATATGTATTTCTTTTGTTTATGTTTAATGTTTGCCTTAATAATTGCTGTGCAGAGTTATGGCATGAATGATCATGAAGAGTCTGTTATATTATTCTACTTTAATAGATTTAATCAATTGCATATGATGACTGTAAAAGAAATTAATTTGCCTCTCACTGAAATCACTAAGAACAAGGCTTGGTTTTTTTCACATCTAAGTATTATGGTTTGGGAGTTTTCTTTCTACCCTCCTTATTTTCTCCTCCCACAGCACCACCAGTGAAGCTGGTAGTGCAGGTTGTTGTATCTTCAGTCCTGGTGCATTTTAACTGAGGGGAGAGATACACCTATTAACCAACATGGAAATTAGAACAAGCCCTCTTGTACCTAACTGGTACAAACTGGCATAAACAGAGAGATGTTCTTGTAAACAGTGCCACAGCAAATGGATAATTTTTTTTTTTTCCAATAGAATTGTATAGATCTGAAATTATAAAAATCTCTGTAGGCTGAATGGCTCAGCAAGGAATAATATCCCTTATTTGACATGTTTTGGTCTTGGTTAAAAGAATTACTGATCACTGTCTGTATGGAAAAAGTTTTACATTCGTTGTGTCTGAGCACAAATGGAATAATTCTTGAAAATTGCACAATATCATTTTCATGAACCATATTTTACCATGGCAGAGCTCAATATTTATATTGATTTGCTTAGGGATACCTATTGCAAAAGATTCTATTTTATAAGCAGTTAGACAGATTGCATTTAATAGGTAGAATGTGTTTCATGGATTAAATATGTGCTCAGAAAATAAGAAACTGCTACTTTTTGTATCTCATAAAAATGGTAATGCAACAATTAGCAGGGTCATATTATAAAGCACAGACTTTACTCTAGCTTAATGGATCTAGGGATATGCATTCATCAGCAACGATAGATTTAGCATAAAATGACATGTAAATGAATTGATGACTGATCATAAATTAATTTTAGTGCTGAAGAAGTAATAGAGACACAGCAAGATGCCACTTTATCATAGTATTTTACTGCTCAGCAACATTTGAGCAACTACTTAATGTTCTGTGTGCATTTCTTTTCTAACAGCTTGAATAAATTTGAGAATTTTTTGTGCCTTTCAGCAATATGGAAACCAAAAAAATCTCGAAAGATGGAATGCAAACAGAAATAAATTTGGCTAAGTGACATAAATTCATTTTTCATTAGATGTTTATGAAGGGCATTAATTATGGTTGGACCTGTGAAGTGCCAAATAAGTATGCATGATTTTTACCTCCTTTTGTTTAGTGTTTTCTGCCCCCCAAGAAAAATTAAAACTTAGGGGTTTGTTCCAGGTGTATACATTTAATTATTCAGGCATTTATGATGAAGTATAATGTGAAATATGAGACAAGGTCTAGTTTTTGAAGTGTGATCATAAATATATTCTGCATTTAGACCCTTTTATTATTCATTCTTATTTTGGTGGTACAATGACTATTTCCCCCTCTATTCTATCACTTTCACCAAAATCAGTGGGCACTTCTTTGTGATCATGGCAGTGGTCAGACATATCCAAGAGAGGATAATGTCTTTCTCCTGTACAAAAGCTAAGAGAAATCTGTAACTGATTTCAGCTGAAGTAGCATCAGTCCCCAAGGGTGTTACCCATTCTTCACAAACCTAAGGAGTCCATCCCT